ACGTAGTAAATACGAGTAGGATAACGAAAGTTGTCAACAACACAGCGGCAAGGAAGATGCGGATAACCACTTAATCTCTCCAAAGATCATCGGTTTGAAGCTGGCCTCAATTTTTTCTAAATTTCGTTTTTATTTTTGCTCTTCTTAGCCTTAACTGTTTAAATTGACTACATATTTTTATTTAGTTTTTGTCTTTACAAAATTATTTGATTCATAAAGTTTAGCAATTACATTTTTTGTACATATTATAAACTGGTTTTTTAATGTACTTGTGAATTCGAAGTTAAATTACTTTTAAGTACATAGTTAATCCTTCAATTCCCTACCCTAAACCCTAAACCCTAAACCCTAAACCCTAAACCCTAAACCCTAAACCCTATTGCATTCGTTTATTTATTAACATAATTTTGAACAAATTACAAACACCGTGTGATTAAAATTTATTTATAACAAAGTGAAATTTATTTATTGTGATTTTTAAAGTAGGGTATCATAATGATTTTGTCTAGCGAATATTCTTTATTTATAATTGTCTTTACACGATTTTTTTTCTTAATGTGAGTATCATTGACATTCGTGAGATAATAATATATAAGGGAAATTCGCTCCCGTTGACGAATTTTTCTAGATACGCCACTGATCGTGTTTGCATTAAGCATGTCTCCACTTGGATCATACTTTTCTAACATGGTTTGATGATCTAATTTAATCTATTTAAGTTTGATGTTATTAATTTAATTTGTGTGTGTGTGTTTGTGTGTTATTTTACTATTTTCTAAGTGTGGTCTAGTCTATTTAAGTTTAAAGAATGTTTGGATCTGCTTTTTAAAACTGTGTCTACTCCTTTAGGGAGCAAAAACATACGTAGTATATGTGAGTCACCGTAGAAATACAGAAGTGAAGTGCTCCAAATTATATTAGAAGCTGTTTTTAAGAAGTTGAAGGAAGTGTTTTGTTGGGAATATTTTATGGTATTCAATCTAGTTAGTTATCTTTGTATTTGTGTAGTTATTAATTAATCGTGTAATACGGGCCACAAATGTGTATCAGCCCGTGAGCTTCCTTGTAACCCGTAAGTTAGCCAACTTCTCCTATAAAAGGAGGCTAACTTACGGGAACCTAACTGATTGATAGAGGCTTAGAGACGCAGAGGCGTAAAGATAGAAAGAGTAGGGTTGCCGCTGCTCTCCTTCTCCAGGGAGAGCAGCGGACAGTATTCATACGGTATACCAGATTCGCGTTCAATCTTGTCGATTTCTTTCTATCTGCTTCTTTATCACTGTTATGGTTGTATGATTGTTAGAATTTAGGGACTAACATTTGGTATCAGAGCCGAGGCGTGAAACAGGTTGGATCTGTCTGCGATTTTTGGATTTAACGAAGAACTGCTCTGTTTTTTCTTCAGTTTTTCTACATGTAGAGATTTGCTCCTGTAATCTCGTTTGTGAACGAAATTTTGTAAAAATCATACTGTTGGATTCGCCTTTCAAAACCGATCCAGCAGCATACCTCTTTTTTCGTTTTCTGCAATTTTTATATTTCGAAGATCTCTACATTGAGATCTCGAAATCCTTAATTCTCACTGCTGCAGAAACGTTTTTGGCTTGAAACTGATACAGGAGAATCTCGACTTTCAGGGCTATTCAGAACAGGTTTCAGATTTTCAAAAATCAATGTTTTCGTTTTGCAGGATCTCGACATTTAGGGACTCGATTTCTTCTTCTCGACATTTGAGATCTCGAGTTTTGCATCTCGACATCTTGATCTCGAGATTTGCATCTCGACATCTTGATCTCGAGATTTGCATCTCGACATCTTGATCTCGAGATTTGAATCTCGAAATCAAGATCTCGAGATTTGAATCTCGAAATCAAGATCTCGAGATTTGTGATCTCGAGATCAAGATCTCGAGATTTGTGATCTCGAGATTTGGAATTTCGAGTTTAGGAATTTCGAGTTTTGAGATTTCGACATTTGGGATCTCGATGTTTTGGATCTCGACATTCTGAAGATTTCGAGATTTTCAAAATTTCTCGATGTTTTGAATCTTTCAAAGTTTGCAGTTTCTTGGAACTCATTATTCGAATCTTGACATCCTTTGCAGTTCATCGAAGCTTTACATTATAAGGATCTCTAAATGATTCCCTGCTTATATATGTTTCATGAGTTTTCGATGTTCTGATGTTTTTCAAACATCAAGTTTTCGAGATTATGAGGTTTTCGAAACTCCAAAGTTTTCGATGTTCAAACATTTTGAAATTCTGCAGATTTCGATATTCTGAGGTTTGTTTTGCAGGTGGATTTGGCCATTATTCTTCGAGGCAATCTCTAGAATTTTGTTTAAAATCCACCTGCTCTCGACATTCAACATCGAGCACCTCATCTTCGAAGAAATTCCTCAAAAACTCAAAATTAGAGATTTTCTGCGACACCGCACTGTTTTGGCCATAACTTTTGACTCGGTGATCCGATTTGAGCAAACTTTTTTTTGTTGGAAAGCTAACGCAAAGATCTACATTAATTCTGGGGCTACGCAGTCTTTGAGGGTCAAAACGTTAGTTTTCCGACAAACATTCTAAATCACCGATGTCCAGGTCAAAACTTAGGCAAATCTGTTCAAATTCTTTCATTGTCAACCCTGAAGTCAAAGCTTTTCTAAACTTCAATGTAAAGGTCTGAAAATCGTAGATAATTCAATCAACCTCGCGTCAACGGTCATCTTACAACAATCAACAATCAACTGCTGAAGCCTCTCCTGACTCATCAACATTATGTGATCATCAATATGCTGAAATTCTACATGATGAGTTCAGGAAGACCGTCATGTGTGGTACATATTGAGATTGCTCCACACACATGGCGGGTATGATATGCTGTGAGCAATCAAACCTTGCACATTCTGAGGGGGAGTTTCAGTTTTCTCCTATTGGCGCCTTACACCGACAAAGCAAGGAATCTCTCAAAGGATGCAACATTTTAGGGGGAGTGTTCAACGTTATCCTCCCCGGCGCCTAACAATGACAAAGCATTCCGAGTGCTCCAGTTGAGGGGGAGTACAGAGAGAAAATGAAGAGAGTAATGAGAGAACATGTCCCTATGGCTTAGTAAACCCAACTAAGCCTATCCAAGGGACAAAGCCGAGCGTAAGTGCGTAAGTGAGCGAGTGAGTGAGTGAACATTATGAGCATTAGGAAGCAGAAGGCTCAAGTGAGAAGAAAAACAATTATCAATGATGAGTCTGCTACCTCAATTGCCTGCTATGAATTGAACATTTGCTCCTAACCACTAAAATACTCTGGACTATCCCCATAGGTTCAGGACTGAATTTATTCAGATCCCGGGTAGAAGTCGCTGCATTTTGTCCAAACGGCGCATGCACAACCCTACCCTAGACCACTCACTTGTCTCCCAACAGACAGATGTTTAATCATAGTTCACGGGGAACCGCATCTCTCATTACTGTCTCCTTCTGAGGCAAGTAATACTGACTACAGTGGCCTCAGCCCCATGCCACTGAATTTTCATTGATCACATCGTGTCTAGTTACTCACTTCCCAAATGTTTTGAAATTTTCTAGGACACAGACACATTTTAGAGTCAGTTGCTAGTCTTCAAGACTTGCGAGAACTTCCATAGGGCTCATCTATTACAGATGAAGACCAATAATTGGAAGGAAGTCCTGCTGTTGCAACATAAGAATCACCAACATTTTCAGGCCATTGCTTTAGAGTTTATCTCTATAGTGATGATAACGGGCGTCTTCACGACCCCGGGGGGCTACGTTATCTTTTTTAGATTCTGCTTGTTTTTCATGTTTTTATTTCCGCAGAATAAAAGAATAAAAGCATGACGTCCCGATTCATCGGATCGTCATGAGGGGGAGAGTGGTCCACATGCTGTTAACATTGGACAAATCATTCTCGGACACTTCACTCCTCCATCACAAAATTCAACACCCTCTCTTCTATCTCCGCAACTCAAATCAAATGGTCAGCTACACTCACAAATCAACCATCATTATGTTCCGTTGTGCCACCGACAAGTTCTCCTCAAATGCATTCATTCCAAATAGTCAAAAAGACTACATTGTGGAGGAGACAGAGGTCAAATACTCCTGTCCTGAAGATGAATTCCATGGGCGTCTCCTATTCTCCAAAGAATATTCATTCTAGAGGCGTCACCGGACTTCATCCAAGCTGATCAAGAGCAACTTCTGGAAGGCAAGGACTACATGCAAGATACTGAAGGTCCCTCAACCCCCGGCATCAAAGATCAAATTGTCAAGAAGACATCAAAGGGGAGATTGCAAGGATTTCTTCAGATAGCCTTCCTCAGAAGTCAAGTTCAAAGACAAAGGAAGCTCAATAACAACAAAGACAAAGATATCTGCGCTGCAATGCTGATTCAACACGATTGATCACCAAGGGGGAGATTGTTGGGAATATTTTATGGTATTCAATCTAGTTAGTTATCTTTGTATTTGTGTAGTTATTAATTAATCGTGTAATACGGGTCACAAATGTGTATCAGCCCGTGGGCTTCCTTGTAACCCGTAAGTTAGCCAACTTCTCCTATAAAAGGAGGCTAACTTACGGGAACCTAACTGATTGATAGAGGCTTAGAGACGCAGAGGCGTAAAGATAGAAAGAGTAGGGTTGCCGCTGCTCTCCTTCTCCAGGGAGAGCAGCGGACAGTATTCATACGGTATACCAGATTCGCGTTCAATCTTGTCGATTTCTTTCTATCTGCTTCTTTATCACTATTATGGTTGTATGATTGTTAGAATTTAGGGACTAACATGTTTGGATCTGATTCTTAAAACTGCTTCTACTCCTTTAGAGAACAAAAGTAGAAGTTGGAGTGTTTGGGTGAAAGTGTAGAAGTACGTATGGTGCTCTAATTTACTCCTACAAGCGGGTTTTTTAGAAGATGGGGGAGAAAAAACTTCTGAAAATTGATTCTGATTCCGCTTTAAAAATAAAAAAGAAGCAAAAGCAGAATCAGTTCCAAACACCCTGAAGGAGACTTACTTCTGAAAAATTGATTGTACTTACGGTCAAGAAAGAAACATTAAAACCAAACCTCTTTCATTGACTATGGCATTGCTCGAGGATGAATTGGCTACTAGCCTCTTCCCCGGAACATGTCCATTATTAGTGTTTTAATGTTTTATTGCTGGCTAGCGGCTATTTTACAATTTACATCTTTCTTTCAAGTTCTCCAAACTGATATGGAGTACAAATTACCACTTCCACAAGATGTTCTCCATAAATGTAAATGGCTCTGCTTCTTCTAATGACTTTCCCTTTTGTGCGGGAACAGGTACATCCGTACATAGCTCATACATACAACAAAGCCTGCTCTGGCTTTCCTGGAATGCATAGTTGGATCATCATCATCACCCTAATCCCAACTAGTTGGGACCGGTTGCATTAAATGTATAGTGCCCATTAATTAATAAAATTAATTAACACTATAAGTTTATGCAAACAATGGCAATATTATATGCTGCATGCCCTTCCTCCTGAAACCTTCATGAAAACAACAATGAGATGCAAATTCCAAAACTGTCACCATCATAGGTTATTTTAACATGAATGGGAAATGCCATGAAATGAAACGAGGTGAGTTGAAATATGTGTTACGATCATGTACTCATGTACTCCCTCCGTCCCATAATTAACTTCGGTTTTGACTGGGCACGGGGATTAAGATAGTGGAATTTGTGTGGTGGAGAGTTGTGCAGAGGAGAGAGAAATGTGTAAGAATGATTGTGAACCACATATTCTTTATCAAAAAAGGAAAGAGGAAATAAATTTGAGACAGACCGAAAAGGAAAGAATGAAGATAATTTCGGGACGGAGGGAGTACAACAGTTGGGATTGATTGATAAGAAGAGTAGAGTACGCAAATTAATACCAATGATTTAACAGGAAATCAGAGTCCATACACCTCCAGTCCAGTTCTGCTGGATTGAAGGATTTGGAGGGTGGGGTATGCAAAAATCAGCCACATTCTTTATGGAACTTGCAGATGAGATGTTAGTAAACAAGAGTAGAGAACTACAGACCGCTAGAAGAAGTCCATTGAATGGACAAACACTCTCTCATCATCACAGTCTACTTCATTGGAGTTTGTTTCTTCTCCCATTAACTGAAGAGGCGATTCCAGTTGAGGTGGACTCTGCGGGAGATCATAAAGAGCATTCCGATTAGACTCTTAATCTTGGTGCTACTTATTTGGATAAGGTATGGAAGTGTTAATACCATCCATCGGAGCAGAGGCCAGTTTATTCCCCTGAAGAATGGATGCTCTTTGATCTCGTTTGCACCACCATTTGATCCCAGGCGGCAGGAAGGATCTCTATTTAACAATGCTTTAATTAACTGCCTTGCTGGCAGGCTCAACTGAAATATGAACTAGTTAAAAATCATCAGCTACAAGCAGGAACGGATCCATGTTTTAGGTAAGGCGGTAAGGGAGTGAAATTTTTCCGCTAGCGAGAGATTTGCATACATTTTATTCAAAAAAGAATCATTAGCAGATACAGGACATTTAAATCTATTACCTCTAGGTTTACGCAATGAAAAAAATAACTTTGATTTTATAATTGAAGTGTTCTAGAAAAAAGTATTGGCACATTAAAGTTTAAGAAATGACAAATCAAATTAAAAGAAAAATATTTGATATTAAAAAAGGGTTCAAGTTTTATCAAATTATTTGATGATAAAGAGTCTGTAATGTACGCATTGACCCATACTTTTTAAATGACCAACAAAGAATTAATTTTTGAATTACTCTTTTTATCTACCATGAGTGTTTGTAAGCCACGAGGAGGAGTCTCTTTAATAATACAATAGTATGTATGTATGAGATGAGATTTTTTATTTTTAGAGTGATCTTGTTTTGCTAATTCATATAGATGGTGTGCATACAATATTATTTTTTTTTAAAAAAATCAAAACTAAATGAATTGTGTAATTTTAATGTCAAACAAACATTTATATTTCAGGTTCACTTCACATTTATACTTGTGTCCGATATTTAATATTGCTTGATATTTTACAAAATTGAGTACTAATATCTAATAAAGATAAATTAAACATTACAAAATTAAGATTTTTTATAGACCTAAGCCTAAAGAAGAAAATCCTTATATCTTGATGTCTTCCAAGGCAAATTTTTTTTTGGACAATGGAAAACAACATGACCTTAAAAAGAACTCAAAAAGTTGCTTCTGCAACACATTTGATGGTGAATTGGTGCGCATGCACCTCATGTGGTAGCAGTACATCTCGCCCAATCACCCAATGAAGGGGTTCAAACTCACAAGAAGAGTACGTGAGTAAAGAATGTAAGGTATGGTTTTAACCTGAATATTACTTGGGAAAGTCGGATCTTTGTTTAAGATGTTGGCGAATGTCTTTTGTCTATTCTTTCCTCTGAATGGTGTGCGTCCAAAAAGCATTTCATAGAGCAAAATACCTGGAAAATAAAATATTTTGGCCTAAATATAGTGAAATGGTGAATAAGTTGTTAAATAATAGGATAAATACGTATTTAGATAAGCCCCATGTATTTAGAGGTCTGTTGTAACTAGTCAATACTGTTAGCATATTATTAGCATAGATCCTGGTTTCTAGGAGTTAATTGATTAGATTGTACTCTATTTAAATCAGATCCGTGTGAATGAAAGATAGATCAGTCAGATCATTTTTAACTCATATGGTATCAGAGCCGTTGATCACTCAGTCGCTAATCTCTCTCAGCCGCTATTCTTTCAGTCGCTGATCAATCATGAAATCTCCTTCTGGTAGAGCCAATTCAACTAGTGAATCCAGTCACACTGGCGGTGCAAATCCCACATCTCAATCTGATTCTTTTCAGAATATTTCTATTACTTCTCATAAATTAAATGGAAGTAATTACCTCCGATGGTCTCAGTCTGTCAAATTGTTCGTTCAAGGACGAGAAAATTTGGATATCTCACCAGATCCACAACCAAGCCAGAGGAAGGAGAGGAAGGACTTGATCGATGGGAAGCTGAGAACTCCATGATCATGTCATGGCTTGTGAATTCAATGGATTCAGGTGTTGGTCGTGCCTACTTGTTTCTGCCAAGTGCACATGAAATCTAGACTGTCGTCGAGGAAACATACTCAGATTTGGGAAATGTCAGCCAACAATTTGAGATCAAGAATCAATTAAATAAAACACGACAAAGAGACAAGAGTGTCGCACAGTACTACACTGAACTGAGCACTCTTTGGCAAGAGTACGATCTGTTTTGCAACTACACCTGGATATGTGCAACAAATAGTGCATTATATAAAAAGACCGCTGAGAAGGAGAGGGTCTTTGACTTTCTAGCTGGACTAAACAAGGAACTTGATGAGGTTCGAGGTCGAGTACTTGGAAAAGACCCACTACCCAGCACACGGGAACCATTTACAGAAGCTAGGAGAGAAGAAAGTCGTAGGCATGTGATGTTTGATGCTGAAATTTCATCAAATGCTGAAACTGTAGCGCTAGTCACTTCAAAAGCTGATGAGAAGTCAGAATTGTCACCTCAACTATTTCAAAACAAAGAACAGACCTGTTTGTGACTACTGTCACAAGATTGGGCATATCAAAGCTAAATGTTGGAAGTTACGTGGCAAACCAGCTAAATTTACACCAACAAATAGGTCACAGCGCAATTCCAGAGGTGGTTTCCAGGTCTTTTCAGAAGAATCAAATGTCTATCAATCCTCCAGTGACAACTCTTCCATCAAGGAAAACCTAGATCAATTGTGTAGTATACTAAGCACACATCAGTTTGCTAGTAACCTTAACCCCAACTCATCCAATCCATCATCCTCATTGATCCAATAAGGTACATATGCAGCAGCATTTAATCTTAGACTAGATAAATCTGACCCTTGGATCATTGATTCAGGGGCCACACACCATATGACAGGATCCCCATATCTGTTTTCCACATATTTTCCATGTCCTGGTAATCAAAAAGTTAAAATTGCAGATGGCTCTTTGTCTGCAATAGCTGGAAAAGGATCTACTATTCTCTCTCCTTTACTCACATTAATCAATGTCCTACATGTGTCTAATCTTTCATGTAACCTTATGTCCGTCAGTAAAATAACCAGTGATTCTAATTGTTATGTCAAATTTGTTTCTTCCGAGTGTGTTTTTCAGGAGAACAACTCAGGGAGGGTGATTGGTAGTGCACAAGAAAGTGGTGGACTCTATTACTTTGCCTCAGACAGCCTTAAGAGTAAACAAGTTCAGAAACCATGTTCTTCTAGTCGTTTATCCTTAGAGAATGAAATAATGTTATGGCACTATAGATTAGGTCATCCTAGTTTTGGTTATTTGAAACATTTATTTCCTATTTTATTCAAAAATAAAGACGTTGAAGGTTTTCAATGCGAAATTTGTCAATTGGCTAAACACAAAAGATCTGTTTATCCCTCTTTAAATTATATGCCATCTTAACCATTTGCCCTAATTCACAGTGACATACGGGGACCATCTCGCGTCAAAACTCATTCTGGTGCAAGATGGTTTATTACATTTATTGATGATCACACACGAAATACTTGGATTTACCTTCTTAAAGAAAAATCTGAAGCTGCTGAAACATATAAAAATTTTAATTCTATGATCAAAACTCAGTTTCAGTCTCAAATTCAAGTTTTTCGAACTGATAATGGCAGAGAATATTTCAATCAAATCCTTGGAAGTTTTCTGGTTGGGCAAGGCATAATCCATCACAGTTCTTGTGTAATTACACCTCAACAAAATGGAATTGCCGAGCTTTAATATTTTCTATGAATGTTAAAAAAATATTTTGGGGAGAAGCCTTACTCCATGCTGCATACCTAATCAATAGGATGCCAAGCAAGATTCTAGGCTATCAAACTCCTTTGAAAACTCTACAAACTTGTTTTCTCCATAATAGGTCTTTCACAGAATTATCTCCTAAGATATTTGGCTGCACTAGTTTTGTTCACAATCATGCAATTAATCGCATCAAATTGGATCCTAGAGCTATCAAATGTATATTTTTAGGTTTTTCAAACACTCAAAAAGGTTACAAGTGCTTTGATGTGAGCTCAGGTAAAATGTTTGTTAGCATGGATGTCACTTTTTTAGAAAATCAACCTTTTTTTGAGAAAACTTCTCTTCCGGGGGAGAATTTAGAACATAATGAAGATAAGTTTTGGAAATGTACTGTACTTCCTATTCCTATGTTTAATGACTAGACTGAGATAGCTTATGACAACCCTGCTAGAACAATTAATTATACTCCTAAAAAGGATTCTGCAACTATTAGAAACATGGCACCAACTACTTAACTCCGTGTTTATACTAGAAGAAAAGAGAGGCGAGGATCTTCCCAAGACTAGATATCAGAAACTAGTTGAGAAGAGGTGAAGAAGAGGTTGTTGTAAACAAGACTAGATATCAGAAACTAGTTGGGAAGCTTATCTATCTAGCTCACACAAGACCTGACATAGCATTTGCTGTTAGTTTAGTCAGCCAATTCATGCACAACCCAACTGAAGAACATCTCAGATGCTGACTTTGCCGGTAATAAAACTGATAGGCGATCTACATCAGCTTATTGTACATTTGTATGGGGTAATCTTGTTACTTGGAGAAGCAAGAAACAACATGTAGTATCCAGGAGCAGTGCAGAAGCCGATTTTAGAGCAATGGCGCAAGGGGTATGTGAAGTCATATGGGTGAAACAAGTATTAAAAGAATTGAAAGTTCCATCAGAGAAGCCTATGAGGTTGTACTGTGATAACAAATAAGCTATTAACATTGCACATAATCCAGTACAACATGATAGGATGAAACATGTGGAAGTTGATCGCAATTTTATCAAAGAAAACCTCGAGAGTGGAGAAATATGTATGCCTTATGTTCCAACAACTGAACAGCTAGCAGATGTGCTCACTAAAGGATTGTTTAAGGGAATGTTTGAAGAAATTTTAGTCAAGATGGGCATGATTGATATTTTTGCTCCAGCTTGAGGGGGAGTGTTAAATGATAGGATAAATACGTATTTAGATAAGTCACATGTATTTAGAGGTCTGTTGTAACTAGTCAATACTGTTAGCATATTATTAGCATAGATCCTGATTTTCTGAAGTTAGTTGATTAGATTGTACTCTATTTAAATCAGATCCGTGTGAATGAAAGATAGATCAGTCAGATCATTTTTAACTCATATAAGTTAATATCCTAATAGTTCAGATCTTCAGTGTATATAAATGTTACCAAGAGCCCACCAATCAATAGCACTGCTGTGTCCACCGCCTGTTATAATTTCCTGAAAGTGTTAGATGACATATAATTATTTAGAGTGAACTTTTATGTCCCGGAAGGTATTAAGTTTCTTGGATATGAACTGCCATTGCATTTAAAAGGAAAAAGAAGATGCTGTACGGGAGCAATGTACTCTTCAGTTCCGACAAATGAATTTGACCGAGAAGTTGGTTCTGCAACAAATGTCGGTACAGGAGTGCTCCTAAATGGGCCTCTAATTCTGCTATGAGAGCGCTCTATCACCTGGGAATTATTTTAAATTCAGTGATGTATGAAGTCGAGAAAAATAGTACTTTGTGAATTTTACTTTACTACTGTGCTACTTCGTACTCCCTCCGGTTCTTATTAAAGTTCTCACTTTCCTTTTTGGGATGTCCCTTATTTAAGTTCAAACTTCCATTTTAGGAAACAAAACAATGCAAAACAGTGCCAAACAGTGTCAAACAGTGCACTCCACAGTAAAGTCAAATTCATTTTCTTAATATGTGTGAAATCAAATTGAGAATTTTAATAAGAAACGGAGGAAGTATTAATGTACTCCGGAGTAATTATATAGAAAACTAGGTAGACCACCAGTTTGCATACAGTAGCCCATAAAGAGAAATAATGCAGTGGAAAGAAATATTATATAAAAATGAAATTGTGTACTTCGGGTTTACACGTGGTCTTGAAGGATAAATCAAAGTCAGTTAGTACAATATGCCCATCAGCCTGAAGTAGGACGTTTTCTGGTTTTAAATCCCTGTATACAATTCCTGCGTTGAAAGACCGATACAGCATTGGTATTATCACTTAATAATCAGTATGGAGTCTATGATACGGAGATTATTGAGTTGGTTCTCATTCAGTGAAACCCATAACCGCTACATGTGGCAGAAAACATATACTCTTCCCCTAAAAAACACCTGGTATTTAAATTATTCCTTTCTTTTTATGGATGAACAGATTTAATTTATTTCTCGAGATTTAGCAAGCGTACCTAAATAGTGAAGGTATTCCAAACCAATTACAACCTCTGCAGCATAGAACCTGGATACAAAATTATCATTTGCAGCTCACCCGAGAAAACATCAAGTTTTTTAATAAAATAAATGTATTTGGTCTCAGTTTCAATGATCATGATAAATTGATAACTACTACGTATTAGCTTTAGGGTGTGGTTTCAACTTGTACATTAGCTACACATTTACAAAATATTTGTACGTAGTATTACTGAGGTGTTTTATGTTTCGTACAGCTTATCAAAGATTACCAAAAGAATAGAAGAGCCACAATAGAAAAATAATAAGACAGACGATATGCTTTCAGAATTTAGCCGGCGTACCTTGCTGAATCCTCTTTAAACATTTTCATAGGCTGTTTCTCGAGCAATCCAAATAGCTCTCCACCAGGACAATAGTCAGTTATCAAGCATATATGTGTAGATGTCTGGTCGAGACAAAGATGTCAATATGATATATGAGAACTTCAATGTGAGCAATTAATTTAGATAAGATAATGCTAAGAGAACATTTTGGATATATTAAGCGAAACAATAAATATAGCTAAGACGAAATTTCAGAGGTATGAATGAATGAAAACCTGAAAAGAACAGTAAAGTGTTGGAAGGAAAGGATGGTCAAGGAGTGAGATGATTTCTCTTTCAATGCATGCTCGGTGAACCTGTAATATTAAATAATAATCCACGTACATACATGGGTTATGGCGCTGCGGTAAAAAATGATTGAGAATTTGGGGAAGTGGGTACAATGGAAGGGAAACAACTATAGAGGAAGAAATAAACATTTTCATCAAAAGAAACTTTGTCATCTTAGTTATGGAGTGAAAATGATTTTGACAAACTTATTTGAAGAATACAGTCACAACTCTTCAATATTTAATCAGACCTTGTTGCGGTTGAGCATTACAGATTTATCCATAGTCTTCATAGCATAGAGTTCACCCGTGCCTTTTAGCTCCACCAAATGCACACTGCAGAAAGGGAAAGGGAACTTTACATATACTGGCTCAGGTGCCTATATACAGTTTGTTCACTTATCCAATTCGATGAATAACAGTTCTGACAAGATGGAAATTAAGTGATATTCTTCAAGCACCGTGTAATTGTTAATCCTATAAAATATTGCAATTTACTTTTTAAGAAAGTAATTCTGCCAAGTAATTACATTACCTCCCAGTATCTCCACATCCCAATGGCCTCACAGGTTTGAAATTATTAAGGCCAATTGTTTGACCATTGGCAGTGATCTGCAATGTAGACAATTTGAGGATGACTGATGAAAGTCAGTAATGTGTTAAAACATATAGCAATCGACAATTTGCCACTACTTACAGCTTAAGAGGATCAAACTACAATATTCAAAATTCTCAACCATGTCAAGACTTTGATGCCTCTAGAGGGATTCAGAGACTTTAGATAAAAGTATATTTAATTGGTGTAACAAAACAAAAGGTGTAACAATGTTAAGAAGTTATGAATGAGGCAATTAGACCATTTTTTAGGAGAGAATTTGGAGGAACTTGAGTGGGGGGAGAGCGAAAAAAGAGAAGCCCTTAGTTGAAAGAAATAAGATTATCAAAATTTCACTATCAGAAAGTGCAATATTAGCATACCTTTCTATAGATTTTTCTCTTTGGACACAGATAAACAAACAAAGTTTATGATAGAGAGCGGGAAGAGCATGGGGCGGGACCGGGCTTGGGCCCACTTCCGTGGGCCGGGTTAGGGCTGTCGTTATAGTTTAATTATTATTATTAAGTTAATGTTATGTTTTAGTTTGGGCCTATTATTAGTAGAGTAGTTAGTTGAGTTAATTTGGGCTTAATTAGGGTTTAATTAATTTGGGTTTGATTAGGGTTTCTCTTAAGAGGCTATTTATACCCCTTGACAGGGTTCATTCTGGATCATCTTGGAATAAAATTGGTTTTAGCCTTTTGGCTCTGGGCAACGGTATTTTTATCGTTGATTATCTGGGCAACGGTTTACCCCGTTGATTTTATTTTTCTGTTACACAACAGTTTACAAAGAAAGCCAGAAAGGTGAAGGTTGCACATGCATGTGTAAGCAAGCAGTAGATGAGGATACTTACTAACTGTATTATGGACTTGAGGGAGGTGATCATTACCTTTTGCATCGTTGTCCATGAAGTAGTGTTCTTTCTATGAGGCCTAGGAAAGACAGGTTGAGAGTGCAGGGCCCATAAGTCCTCTGGTGTCTGAACTTGGAAGTTCACACAGCAAAGAGTCAGCATCAGTCATTAATGAATCAGACAGCGTCTAAAGCATAAACCAAAAATTTAATTCAGTGTGAAAGGAATACCTTACCAAGTTGGCATCAGGAAGCTCTCTCACAGCTTCATCAACATTTTCTGCAGTAGCTTTAACCTGGGAAAAATATTACCTTACAGTGACTAAAACAATTTTCCCTCCTCAAAGCCGAAACAACAGAAGAATTGATATCTTTACTGAAAATATCAATGTATCTTCAGGGGTAAGAATGGAACATGTACCAAGATAGCACTTTTTTGCTCTGTTTGATCTGAGAGGCGATCCCTAAGTGGTGCTACATGATCACTTCCATCTAACTGCACACCGATGAAGTATTGCAGGCTCCCCTGTAAACGAGAGATTCAGTTTAGTAACAAAACATAGACAACATGTCAACATTATCAATGTAGCTATAGAAATCACAGAAAAGCTACACCATAGAGTTACCTTCTGATCATGCATAGGTTGCAAGTGAAACATATTCCAGAACCTTTTCCCTGAAAATTATGTAAGGGGAGAAAATTGGACAGAAGATTGTAGGTCTGAATGGAAATTTTGAAAACTTCCGCTGCAATAAAATTTGTATTCAAGTAACTGTCGTAGCTTACCGCTCTTGGTATAATTAATTAACTGGACTGTGATTTCTCTTTCTTCTCTGATGGCATCTCTTATTTTTTGAACAGTTGCTTGATCGGTTTCAGGCCCCTGAAGAAACCTGTAGCTCTCTAGCTATTAGACACCATTGTTACTGGGAAGTACTAATTAGAAAAAATGTAATATGACATGAACTCAAAACTCTCAAGCTGTTGACATTTGCAATTCCTGCTATGCATGTAACAAATCTAAACTTGGATATTAAGGAGTATGCAGTATTTTATTACTACCGGCAGTTTCTTCCCAGGATTTCTTCACGTGTATACTCTGTCAGTTCAAGAAAACTATCAGAAGCAAATATCTGCAAGCATAGAATCGTGTTTCTTATCTTCAATTTGATGAGAAAACACACACACACACCCCTGCATGTTACTTGCAAGTTGCAACCTACGAAACTTTAATCTACATCATTTGTTAATCATTTTTGCATTGCCATTAGAATAATAAACGTTTCAAAAAATGTCCCACAAAGACAACACAAGAGATGGTAAAACTAAATTGCAAGTTAGTCTTACAACTGGATTATCAGGAAGCCTAGGATCTGAAATCACGAAATTCTTTTCAATACGCTCCAGTGAGGTTGCAAGGTCAATTCCTTGGCGTATATCCCTTTCTCTTTCAGCGTTTTCCCAACTGTCAGATCGTTCAGTCTCATCTGCCATCAAAATTTCAGGCTCCAAAAGTTTTCTGCTTTCATTCTGTCCTACACTGCTGGAAGACCATCTTTGTAACCTGCAGAGAAAAAACTAAGTTCCAATCAAGGAAAGCTGGATTCTCTACTTGAAATTACTCTTTGGAATTTAAGCTTACTTAATAAAATAACTCTTCTTCTTTTTATCATATCTACCTCTAGCAGGTAATAGAAATAGTGACTCACCTCATTAAAGAAATGTGTCTCGTTTCTCTAGATCTTTTTACAGAGTCCTGCAGAGATAAACTGCCCTTGGGATCCCGCTGAAGGGTTAGTGAACTATGTTTACTCAATAGTTCAGTTTCATACATTATAGGAACCATTGGTTGTGCCTGTGGTAGTCGATTCTTTACAGTCTGTACGACTTCTGTTATCGAACCTAATGCATTTATCTTCTGGCGATCTGAAATAAACATTCAGAATGTCAGTTTAAAATAATGCTGGAATATGATTTCCATAAACACTTCAGCTGACCATCATAACGAATCAATGACTGAGGTAACCCATTTGGTCGCAATGCCTTGTCAACAACTCCTTCAGTGTATTTGGTTACTTCAACCTGCATTCTGTCAAAAATTGCATTTCACTAAGCAAGACCAACACGACAATGCCGTGACTAGTTTACTTAAATAAAGATAAATGTCACGCCCATTTAATAGGGTAAGTTTTGGTTGAAGTGGCTGAAATCGGTGAATTGGATCAATAAACTGAGATACAAAAACAATACTTGTACTCATACTTTATGAGTACCAAAAGAAGACTCCAGTTTAAAAAAAAAAAAACACAACAAGCATTACATTTCATCAAAAGAATCCAATTTTGTGTGAATCAATGTACGTTTTCATAGGCATTTCAGAAGTCAGAACAGGTTGAGTGCACAAAATTTGGCTCAGATGTGATATAGATAACTTACAGGAGTTGTACATGATCAGAGATCAAAAGTAAAAACTTGATCAAATATGATTCTTTTCAGACAAAAATAGAATAGAATATGAAAACATAGGTAAAAGTGTCAAGCATAAGTTAGGGTTTGGTGTAAAAAATTGGCTAGTGTGCATAACAAGTAATCTACCAAACGTCCACAAAATCTTTCTCAAGGAGTCAATGGTCTCTCCTCAGTACAGGAAGACATCTTACCCAATAAATTTAATTAAGTTCCCATTGTCATCTTTAATGGGAGTGATTGTTAGCAAATTCCAAAAAGGAGTCCCGTCCTTCTTGTAGTTCAACAGCCTCCCGCAGTAGCTTTTCCCTGTTTTTACTGCCACCCGTATTTTATCAACTTCCTTCTGGTCGGTATCGGCGCCCTGTAGAAAGCGACTGCAATATAACAAGCAACTCAGGAAAAAAACAAAAACAAAACTCAGGTAATTTTATTGAAAGCCATAAACACATCTTTCTCTTCAATATTTGGACTATAACAACAAAGCTTATGAAGAAGAAGAAGAAAATTGTACATGGATGTATTTGAAGTCAATAAACTACATTTACTGTAATAAATAAATGACCCTTACCAATTATTTCCAATAACCTCATTTGAAGAATAGCCGGTCATGGTAAAGAAGCCATCGCTAGAATAGACTATGGGACAATCAGGCTTAGTTGCATCGGACACAACAAATGTCTGTTTAAGCGTCGCCAGAACATCCTTCACTTCTTCATTGAACGGCAAGTAAGGAGGCGATTGAGGCATGCTCCCGTATTTCGACGATTCTGATGCCCGTACAGATGACTCCGAGTGAGCTACTGAAGATTTCCTCTCACCCGAGCTCCGGCTACTTCCCCTTCCGCGAAATGAACCTCTCCCAGGGATTGGTTTGAAGCAGCTGCCTTCTGTCACATCACTCATCCTAACATCGTCATCAGTTGACAATACTCCCCATTCCTCGTTCCTTTGTGCAAATCTAGAAGATCCTAGATGACTCTGAGATTTGCTAGTTACGGCGGCTTCACCAAAATCTACCTTCCGTTTACTGAATATCCCCTCCTTGCTTCCCAAATCTCCATTTCCGCGAATATAAGCTTTTTCTTCTTCTACTGCTACTACTGCTACTGATCTTTCTCGTTGAAAACCCTCGATTGAACCGTGTTCGTTGTTTTTATCAGCAGCCATGGAAGACCCCATCTTCAATCACCAACTCTGTCCAGCAACAGCAACTTCAGTGTACAGTACATAAACCGTTTCTCGCGCTAAAGCGACGTACAAGTTGAAAGAAAATATCAGGGATGTAAAGACCATTCTGCCTTCACGGCCGCGGCGGAATTAAATGATGATTGAGATTTTGTTGAAGGGCAAATGCGTAAACGTGTTGGGGGTTTGTACATTTTAGTCGGGGAGTAATAAATGAAAGAGTGGCCGGCGTCACGTGAAATAGAGGGTACATTTTAGGCCACATGCTAGCTAACTGGAACACCCTGCACTCATTTGGATAATTTTGGTCATCAGTCTTTTCACACTTCGTGTATGGATATAGACAGAGGGCCATTATTGTCCACCGCACCCTCACCACACACATAAATACACATTTCAATTTTTTTTGATAATCCAGATGTGGGGCTTACGTTCCCATAATCTATGAACTACCCTCCAAAGCTCCTAGACAGTTAAATCTGGATCTGATCACAGTCAACCTCATCAGTACTGACTCCAAAGGACGAATCCAGCATGACTTACATCATCTTTCAGGCACTCCTCCCACCACACGAACCCGCTACCTTCATTACCATCATCTCCCTTCTCAGCCGTTGAGCAACTCCGTTAAGGTAGGAAGAAACATTGGGAGCAAGACCTCCCTCATCTCCCCTTGGTGGAAATTGAACCCAAAACCTCCCACAAATGAGAGACTTGGGGTGGATGGTCATCCATTGGACTACATACACCCACCTTCCCCATAAATACACATTTCAAAATGGGGGGCGTAGCTCACTTGGTAGAAACGGGTGTCACAAACCGACAAACGAGACATCCTGAATTCAACTCTAAGCAAAAATTTGATATGAAACTCAATTATTTTTCTATTAGTGTGAGATCAAAGTTCAACTTATATCCTCCCAAATAACTGCTCGGTTGATTCTGGGGATCCTCAAATATGAGGTGTCATCCTTTTTTAATACACATTGCAACCTTATGAAATATTTTTTGGGTATTGAAGTTGCCAAACCGGTTGCATTTCCTATGGTCCAAAACCATGGGTTACTGATATGCACTAATTAGTCGGACATAAGTGTATGTGTTTATGTTGGATTTGTGTGTATTGTTTATCATTTTACTTAGTTTGTAAACATTTGTGTGATTTTAGTTGTAGTTGTATTTTAGTCTTTATTTGTAAGTTGTAAAGTTTAGTTAGGATTTGTGGTGTTGGAAAGGAAGACTTTGAAGTGAAGAAAAAGAAGATTTGGCTGCCCAGGAGCAAATACCCGACCGGGTATAACACTTGACCCGGTCGGGTAAGAAGTGAAAAACGAAAATGCAAAGAAAGTGCATGGCCCGGTCGGGCCCACTACCTCACCCGGTCGGGTGAGAAGTGACCGGGGACAACCCGGCGTGCAAAGATCACCCGAACGTGAAGAATATCCAATTTTTGCACTCACCCGGTCGGGTCCCCTACCCCACCCGGTCGGGTCTGACTTGACCCGGACACTTTAACATGCCGAAGATCGCCAGAACGTGGAGGATATTTGATTTTGACATGCACCCGATCGGGTAAGTACTATACCCGGTCGGGTACCCGGCCAAAGGTGTTGAAAAACACCTATAAATAGCACTCCTTTTCTCCTCTAAAAATAATCCCTTCTTCCATACTCTTAAGCTCAGTTTAGAATAGTATTTCTTTATATTTTTCTAGCTATGTTTAGTCTCCAAATGAGGAGCTAAACTCTCATTCTTGGTGTTGCTCTTGAAGCTTGTTGATTATTAAAGTTGTGAGTTATTTTCTTAACTTCTTTCCTTGAATATTAATTAATAGTTCTTTCCTTAATACCATCTCTATATTAATGTTGGGGAGTGTTGCTAAGATGACAATTAGTTAACATCTTGATATTAATTATAGTAGGATTCATTTTCTTTAATAATATTCTTTCTTGAATATTAATTAATTCCTACTCATATCTCATATTAATATTTTGAACATTACTTAAAGGATCAACTAGTTTTGTTTCATATATTAATTATTACTAGAAATGATCAACGAACCGATGGTTAATCGTTGATGGTTTCACAAGTAAGTAACTTCAGTTTATTAATGCACGGTCGTGGTTAATAAACTTAAGAGGGATTAATTTTGTTGGTTAAACCGAAACCGTTGTGTTGAAGTTATCAATCTCAATTGATTTCATCAAGGAATTAGAAAGATTAAATGCTACTATTAAATCGGTATAAGGCGTTGTTCTATATTTGATTAATAGTAAGAGTTATTAATGGACGGTTGTTGTTAATAACTACCCTCGATGAAGTGGAGATACTCCCCGATTGAGTATTCGAGAGGGAATAAGTTATAGATATAACAATGATCGACTAAAATATATCAACAAGTGGAAAGTAGCAATGGCAAGTCCTTTTTATCTTTGAATTAAACACATATAGGTTGTTCATCTTAGTTCTTAATTAAAATTAAATCACTCAATCCAAATCCCCCCTTTTATTTACTAAGTATCATAAAAAGAGAATTATTCCTTTCCCTGTGGATACGAACTCTACTACGCTATACTACATATAAGTGTTTAGTATTGAAAATTATTTTGACGCACCGTGACAAAGTGCCCGTCAGTTACAATCTGACATTGGACCCTATTATTATGATCCTGAACAATATCAGAGGCTAGTTGAAAAACTTATTTATCTTACTTTAACTCGCTCCGATATTAGTTACTCCGTTCATATACTTCCCCAGTTTATTTTATTTGGATATTAATTTTAGAGCCTTCACACGTCGATGTCCAAATTCATTCACCAAGGGAATAGTGTTCCGTTAGGCTGTCTGTTGTATAGATTAATGATTAATGATGATCATTAATCATTAGTTAGTGTAGTGCAATAGGCCAATAACTGTTGTATTCATTTACGTTACTATCATCAACTGTATATAAGCATGACATCGACTTTAGATGACCAGGGGGTAATACGAAACATTCGACTCTCCATTTTGATACTCCCTCCGTCCCTTACAACTTTGTCAACTTTATTTTTTTGGTTGTCCCACTAACTTTGCCATTTTCTCTTTTAAGTAAAGAATTTATGGTTCTAGTTAATTCTCTCTCCTCTGCACAAACCTTTATCACACAGTTTTTACTTTATTAATCTCCGTGCCGGTCAAACATGACAAATTTTAAGGGACGGAGGTAGTATATCTATACATGTATGTATGTACTCCCTCCGGTTCTTATTAAAGTTCCCACTTTCCTTTTTGGGATGTCCCTTATTTAAGTTCACACTTCCATTTTAGGAAACAAAACAGTGCAAAACAGTGCCAAACAGTGTCAAACAGTGTTCAAACAGTGCCAAACAGTGCCAAACAGTGCACTCCACAGTAAAGTCAAATTCAATTTCTTAATATGTGTGAAGTCAAACTAAGAACTTAAATAAGAACCGGAGGAAGTATAGTTTATAGTTAGAAGAGTCAATATGAGGAGCAACCATCATCATTATTAGTAAAGCTTTGTTGCATCTGTATTGCCCGTTGGATGTGCGAGTGCCAAGACTGTGTAACTGTGTTTGGTCACATGATAAGGGTATGTTAGGAATTAAAAAATGTGGGATGCATGTGTTTTGTAAATGGGGTTTTTTAAATAGAGATGTCAATTGTGACCGAACCGATGCATGCCCGCCCCGAACCGCCCCGGTCAAAACGGGGAAAACCGCATTGACCGGGTAACGGGTATGGGGCGGGAAATACCCGTTTTTTACGGGTAATGGGTCAGATACGGTTTTATACATGTCTGCCCCATTACCCGCCCCATACCCGCCCCATTTATTTGTATAGTAGTTATATTTTTATTATATTGTTATCCATTATTTGTCTCACAACTATTAAAAGATGATATTTTTTCTTACCATTGTGTATATATAGATAATAGATGTACTAACTATAATGTATAAATGAAAGTTCATAATAGATTTTAATAGTCATGTTTGATTATTATCATATTTTATTCGTGATTAATTATTTTTTAGATCAAGTATTTTTAGGTTCAAATTAATTTAAGTTGCTTCCTTTCTCGTCTTGTAGATATACGAATCTTTAAAGTGGCATCTGAAATGTAGAGTGGTCTAAGCGATGTCAATCTTCGCCTTTTAAAATATTATTTTTTATATCAAAATTTAATGACTCGATTAATAAAGCGGCTACCCGCGGTTACTCGAAGTTTTACCCGTTGCGGCGGTTATGATTTGGGTAAAAATTACCCGTTGGGTAATGGGGCGGTTACGGGGCGGGAAAATTATCCAACGGGGCGATTACGGTTATATGTAAAACCGTCCCCGATCCGCTCCGTTGTCATCCCTATTTGTAAATAGAATTACCCTTTCGCTAAACAAGAACAAAACCATAGAGAGCAGGGGTGGAGCCAGGGGAGGGCCAACCATGGCCCTGGCCCAGTCTAAATTTAAAAAATGTTCATATTTTTAGTGTAAAAAATTCTGTGTAAAAATTTTTCCAAATATATTTTTTGCACCGGCCCAATCTGGTCCAGTGCTCTGGCTTCGCCCCTGATAGAGAGTTGGGCCCGGAAAAGATGAGTTGAATCCAAAAGCCTTACCACTCTTAAGGCTATGTTTGCAATTGCTTAATTTAAGCACTTTTGAGCTTTTGACTTTGGAAAAGTTAGAAGCGGTGTTTGCAAATGAAAAAATCCAAACTGGCCTTTCTCTTGTCGTGTTCCCTCATCTCCCGGAGTTCCAGTTAAGGCCTAAGGGTGTGTACCGGTCCAAAACCGGAACAGAACGGACCGAACCGGAGCATAACCGGAACTGATTTTGCTACAAAATAGAAATTGAAAACCGAACCAAACATATTGCGGTTTAACCAGAAGTGGGCCTGTTTAACCGAATCAAAACTGGAACCAGTTTAACTGGTTTTTCTAAATATTAGTTATTTTAAATAAAAGTACACCTAATATTTTGATAAAGATGGAGTATTTATTATTAATAATGTCAATATCATTACTATATCTATCTACTAATTTATTTTCATTAATTATAGAGATGAAAGATTGGAGTAATTTGAGTGAAATTATAAATGTTAGTTATTTCTATTATTAGACAATCAGAATAAATGGATGAATATAACACTAAGATAATATAATATATATAAGCTAATCATTTTTATTTAGTAAACTAATATATAACATTAAGAGAATATATTACGGATTAATCATTAAGATTATTTTTGTTATTATTAATTTATTATTATTAATTTATAGTTATTTTATATTAAAGTATTAATTAATATGTAGTACTAGTATATATCAAAATATAGTAAACCAAATGAATCCCGTTCAAACCGGAATAATCCAGTTTTCAACCGGAATTGGACCGAAAATCGGAATTCTATTTTTTTTAGTAACCGAAAACCGGACCGGATAGCATTCATGTTCGGTCCGTTTCGGATTTTTCCGATCAGATTTTCCGGTTTGAACTGGTTTGTGCACACCCCTAGACAGTAACGGGTCGGGCCGGCCCGGTTTAGTCCATCCCTACATTCGATCATTTATTCAATAATCTTCTAAAAAATCACTATTGAGAAGTACGAGCAAATGCTAACACTACCTTAATATATTCATGCTATGGGTTGAAGTCTAAAAGAAAAAAGGGAAATATATAGAAAATGTATCAATGGTTGAACACATTTTCAAATAGAATATTTGTTTCATTTATTTACGGAGAAAGTCATGTCTTTGAATTCCATTATCATTGGAGGGGTCTGTCGTCTAACGCCGTTAGAAATCGTCGAAGCAAAACAGTGAAAAGTAACTCCAATTTTCAAAAGTGCTTGAAAATTTAAAAGATAAATATTGGTTTTTTAAAAAGACAAGTTTGCATATATCATTTTTCCGGTGGACTTTTCATTGAAAAGTGGAAACAAAACATAAATGGTCTAGAGGTCACCTTGACGAGACACACTTATGAATGTTTTCCTTTAAATTTTTCGAACACTTTTGAAAATCAAAACTTCTAGTCATCATTTTCCTTCAACTATTTCTCATGTAACAGAATTTAAACATATGACCTATTTTGTTAAGAAATCAAACACAAAGGCTATCTGAAAGCGGATCCAACCACATGTACCTTTTCTATACTTTTCTTAAGAAAAAATGTTTCAATACTAATTCGACCAAACGTATAAAATTTTTTAAAACAAATGTAATCAATTCTCACGGTTATACAGTAAAAGTTTTTACTAAATTTGCAATTTTATAATTTTGGGAGTAAGCTTGCAAGTTGCAAGTTGGTCTTGAAAAATTAAAATTCAATTACAACTTTCTTATTTTCAATTATCGTGGTTTGATGACATCATGACACTTCTAAGGAGGAGTTCACAAGTCCAAAACTCATCCCTGACAAAACATTGACATTTAACATCCAACATATACTACAAAGAGACTAAAAAGTCCAGCCAAAAAAACTGAAAACGGGTACCAACAGTAAAATTGGACCAATACCGCCACATCCCCCTTACATGTTCTTATCAAAACAGGGACCGAGCTGAGTCGGGCCAAACGCCGAACTAACTTGTGTCCACCCCTGCGGCCATGTTAGCATTGCTGAAATGAAAATTATTAATACTTTGCTATGCCTACCAACCAAAGCCAACTCACATGACCAAGACCAGATTCCGACCAGACCGATATTACCTGAACTAAAAGCTATGAAACTCAAGATCTCAGTAACATAGCAACCCTTGTGTTATTTCCCTTCCAATAAATCAACCTGAGACCATCCTTTTGAAAAGCACATAATACTTGCAGGACTGTATTTCGAAAACCAAATTCCGTAAGATGTACTCCTAGATCCCGAAGGCAAACACCTCATTTGTAACTGAAGCAATGAAGGTTACTAATAAGATAAATTTAGACTAAAACCGGTAACATGTACATATTACATATGTATAGCACAAACTAGTAGATATAAAGAAAGAAAAATGGGAAGGGAAGTGGTGAGGAGGTTTCAATTTGTCCATGTAGATCAAGGTGGTATATTTTCTGTATTGTCTGTGTGGAAGTTATTAGGAGGAAGAAAGAAGAGCCAGTTCATCAGATAAAGCAGCAGCTTCTGATCCGTTTAATGATTTCCCAGAAGCAAGTAGCTGTTTCCGCAGAGTCAACAGCTCTTCTCCAGCATTGCATATGTAGGCTGAAGCTTGCCTGCCTGATAGAGTTGCTCCTTCCATGCTATCTATGTAATCCTGAGGAAATGTGATAATTTAGAATGTGGCGTCCAGGCTATAGCTGTGGACATACTAGTGCGTTTATCATCAGTTACAATAAATCGAGATAAGTCTAAACTCAGCGTGTGTGCAGATATGCTTCTACATACATACATGCATACATGAAATAATGACAACATAGACCAAAATAAAAGTAATGCACAAAAAATAATGACTTTTACAGGATAGTAGTGACTATGGTCGTATTTTATAATTTTTATTGACTAGTGACCACTGACCATGTAATATTCAATTTTACTATACATACACTCATCCTAATCCTAAACTCATAACCTCAAAGTGACTATAATGACCCTGTTGTCAAGTTTTTGTCCATAAGTTCGGGAAACCCCATACATATCCCTCCTTGTAGTAAGAAATAGTTTTTTATGCAGTATGACTAACTATCCAGAATAAAATTGATTTTTACCTGTTTCGTATATGACCCTGCAAGAAAGAAATTTTTCACTGGTGTTTTCTGATCAGGTCTAAATGGATCTTTGCCAGGCCCTTCACGGTATAAAGATTGCCCAATTTTGACAACTGATGACCAAGTCACCTCCAAACCTTGGGAGGAGGGGAAAAGGACCACAACCTGAGAGTCCAAGAAACCATTGAAAGAAAGATGGACGGTTTGAGAGCCCATACTAATAATAATACAAGTAGTACCGGTACCAATAACAACAAGAATAATAATGAAGACCTGTTTGGAGACTCTTCTTATAATTTCATCATTTGGTAGAGGCATGTAAGGGTCTCCAGGTGTAAGCACACATCTAGAGGTTATTAACCAAACAGAATAAAATGAGCAATGGAGTGAGTATCTAACACGAAGGAATACACAGTTATAATGAGTGGGGATATGCTTATAATTCAAGCACCCTTTCTTACTGGAGCAAAGACCCTTGACCCTCAAGGTAATAATCTTCAGGAGAGGTCAGTGCAAGGTCCGCAAAGCAAGAGAAATCTGCATCTGGTGTGTATAGGAGATTATCCAAACCTGTAGCCCGCACCAATTGTCTGATAGAGAGAGGTAAACAACATTACCCTAACATTCTTTTCTAGCTTATCATACTTTATATCCCTGTAAATATAACACTTTGTTTTAGTTTCCTCTATTTTTTTCACCCGCTGAACTTTATTATTTTCTCTTTACTCCGTCTCTAAGTCTCACAAAAACTTCGTAGAAAAAAACTCCACGGTCTCGCATAATTCCATTTAAACAAAATTCACACCAATTCTTATACTACGTATTACTTTTTGCAGATTATGTGGAGTTAATGTTGAGTGAAGCTTATCTCTATTATTCTCTGGAAATAAAACATTTTTCAATGGAATGGCACAAACAAGTAAAACTGAAATCATGTTACTCATGTCAGTTTTATTGTTAAACAGAGGATGTCAGAACGTGGAGAGTCTGAGAGGGACTAGAAAAGAAAATAGCCTAAATTGCATGGATGGAATAAAAGAATAATATTTGCAGGGATTTAAAACAAAAAAAAAAACAGAATATTTGCATGGATTAAAGACAAATTTAAACCTTCTTTTGTATATGAGAAAAGAAGATAACTAACAGTGAGCCAAACTTCAATGAACAAGATAAAATCAATAACTTAGCTAAAAGACAAGTTAACCTTGAAAGTTCCAAATCTTGCAACTCTGTAACCCAGCCATTGTATCTAAGTTGTACTGTAACTACTGGCACTCCAACCAGCTTATAAATATTATCAAAGAATTCCCATTCCCTCCAACCATTAGGTAGTAGTCTCTTAATTCCAGGCACATCACATGCTGCAAGCAGATAGGTGAGGTTTTAGAAGATTCAACTTAGAGTGGTAGGAAGAAAAATAATAACCGGGTTACCATCAACTACAGACCTGCAACATAGGCATCAGCTTTAACTGTTTTCTTCTGAGTAGCCTGCATCGAGCTATTTATCACTAATTGTCAAACACACAGGCCATTTTAGCTAACACAAAAAAAAACCTATGCACATTAAAGACAAAAGACTAAAGTGCACTTTTGAGTCTGTAATTGTGCAGTTCTAGTGCCTCTGTTAGTCTTGTGCTAAATGAGTTGTACTTGCACATTAAAATGAAAATCAACATTTTTATGAGATACTGACATCAAAAGTATCCGCACAAAGAAAAGAGTGACATAATACAAGCTAAGAGAAGCAGTAAAATAAGAGATAAACGAAAGAATATTAAAATGATGGTCTTCCACTTGTCCAAGGTGATGAATTCCGAGAGAAAATGCATATAAATGTCACTGGTTATCTTTGTTAGCTTTTTGAACTTTAAGGGATTGATAAATGTCAATCTAAACAAATTTACAAGCTTTAAAAGGTATGATGAAGAGGAGGATCTAGAAATTTAGGTTGGCCTGTGCTTGAAGCAAATATTGCTATGATTTAAATGAGAGAGAAACAAATATTTTAGCTTAAAATTAAATTTTTGGGGAGACCTGCCCGGCCTTCACTTGAAATCTACCCCAGGCCTGAAGGCAATTCTGAAGTCTCATATCGCTACGTTTCAACTCAGAAAAAAATAATTAGTCGAAAATCATATTTATATAGTAGCAGAGTAGCACCCCGTGATCATCAGGCACGGGCGCTGCATAGTTGTGAAGGGAGAACAGTTGCTTGTATTAATTGTCTAAATCCATACATTATTCCCTGATGCCTATAATTCATGAACTAGTGTTAGCATTAGTGTTTAACATGAATGACACTATAAAGGATAACAAAAGAATTTGAAAGAAGCAATTGACCTTTGACATGACAAGGTCAGTGATATATGTACTTCCATCAGAAGATCTCTCATAATGTAACTCTCTACATCCCCACTTCAGATGAAACCTGCAGAAAAAAGGGAAAATGAAAAGTAGTCTATTAATTACCTGAAGGGCCAACGATAATATTTTTGTAAAGATAAAAAGAAAATAGTGTGCCCTAAATAGGAGTAAAAACATTTATGAATTCCAAAATAGGACTACTATGTTTTATTGCCAAAGTAGGAGTAATTACTTCCATGTTTTGGCATCACAGCCATCACTAGGCTTTAACATGGCAGTATTTTCCACGATTGTAAGTAATTACTCCTATTTTGGATTTCCAAAATGTTTTCTCTTATTTCGGGAATTTTCCCTAAAAAGAATCGTGATCGGAATTTAGCCACACAACATAAGCTGACACCAAAACTCCATAGGCTTTTAGTCTTGATTTCTGCTTGTCTCTTCTATGTAATTCTCCCTTTTTGACTTAGAAATACCAGACTGCTAATCTAATGATTATGAATATGTATTTCACTAAAAACATCAGTCTACTTTATTCATATCTAACTAAATCATTAAATGGAAAGAAATGTCTAATCTAATACCAGCAGCCCAGTCCCCTAGGATTGTGGCTTTCCTAGAAAGTTCTCTTGTACGTCTGTTATCCACTTCCAAATCATGCATCACTCCACCTTCTATAGTTACCCAAGATGCCCCCCCCCCCCCCCCCCCCCAAAAAAAATAGCACCATTTTCAGTACAACTAAGCAATGTAGAGAAAAAAACTAATTGGAACTTCAATATACCGAAGTATATATTAAAGATTCATAAATAAGTAAGTTCTGGATGTTGGTCTTTACCTGCCTCCTTTATCCTCGATGTATTTTCTGACTGGACCACTCAAATAAAGATCCGGAGAGCCTTTGAGCATCCGTAAGAGGGAAGCCTCTGTCTTAGTGGCAAACAGTGCAAATATAGTAAGCATACATCGAGCACTAATATTATCACAATCAATGAATCCTAGAGCATAGGCAACAGGATCCCACATCCGCTGGATACTTGCACGTGTTCCCCCTTTAGACATAAACCAGTTGGAGAAGCTTATCTGAAAGTAATGTGCCAGTATTACATCCAGTATAATTAAATAAAATAACAAGCCTTTTCCTGGAACAGAAATGAAGTCATTGAGTAAGGATATATATACATTTCTTGTCTACAATTACTAGCTACATTCTTACATGGCACATGATGATTGGATGGTAAAAAAGATGTCTTACTTCTCACCATCCAACCAATATGTGTCATGCTAGAATGCATACAAAAATGTGTAAAAATGTAGGCATAAAATTATTCTAAATCATTTGTAATTAAGAACTAATAAATACGGAAAGATGATCTAACTCGGTCTAAACCACGAATATCCTTCATTGCCCCATCTGGATCCACTAGAGCCCGAACCACGGGACTAAGGGCAAGTGCTACAGCATTTCTGGCTTTATCATATGGCTGCCAATGAAGGTGAGGAAGAAACTAGGAGGTTAGGCAAAGAATATTGTTTTATATTCACATTAAGTGTAGGAATACAATAATACAGAAAAGTTCAGATACATGATAGAGGTGTAATATGAAAACTGATGGAAGATATTATAAACCAACCTGACAACTACATGATATTAATACACCGTTTAAAAAAGGATTTTAATTGAATGCAGAATCAGATTAACATAGAAAAGCATACAGAGCTCAATGACAGCAAGGTTAGAATGCAATGATATCATTAATATGACGCATCCACTTCTAAAAGAAGAATTATTAACTATTTTTATTCTTTTTTAAGATTGAGTGAGTCCTATTATTAGCATAACACAATGATAATTTTTATTTGTGCATATGGTCCCTGTTTAACTCCTATTTGAAGTAATATATATGTACCCTATATGTACAATAACATACTTATATACATGTATGTGTACATATATTTATAGAGGTGTGCAGTGCATGAGGTGTAGCCTCACAAAAAGTAGAGGCTTAGACCTTTTTGTTTGCATATGATCCTATAATTTTAAAAATACACTTTCTTTTACATATCCTGATTCAATGAGTTTTGTTTTCTCTGGGATGCTTTGAGTTTAGTTAAACAAATTTTATATTTTTATTTAGAAAAAACATAAGGTTAGATGTTCAGCTTCCCTGTGCAGCTGCCTCGATATTATGTGCTTATCTTCTCCTATTCTGCATTTTATCTTTTCCATGTGTTCGATCAGATAATTTTCCATCCGGCTAGAATAATGAGAAACAATACACTTTTGTGGTTACTCTCAACTTCTCAAGTCATAAGTCTTTTAGATTACTTAGTTTAAAATTTAAACTTTCACTTATTTGTATGAATCCTGGAATTTTATTACCCATTATATTTGTTATTGTGCAATTTGCACTACCTAGCTGGATGGAAAATTATTTGGCACTTCTACATTTAAAATTTCTGTTTACCACATGGCTTATGCCTCATGAGGGAAAAGCAAAGTGCCTCAAGGCTCATTTTATGTCCTTGAATATAATATTCTACAGTAAAAATACACTAAAAAACTGTTTTAGAGAGCTTGGGGTCGGTTGTGGGCTGTGTTGACCCACCCCTAGCTACGCTAATGGTACATACCCACCCAAGTGCACACACACTAACCAGCATAAAAAACCAGTACCTTCAACTGATTTGTGGACAAAAATGCTGAAATTCCATGCAGTGGTGCTCCAATAGGGAACCGGAAATCAAGCTCTGTAGTAAAGAACAGACTGTATGTATGAAATAGTAATGACCAATTGTGGTATCACAAACTAGGCAGAATGATCCGCAAATATACTAAAGAAATTTGGAAGTTCAAACAGTTAAACTGAAAAGTGAAATATTGTCCTACCGCCAACTTTGCCCCCTTTATTCACAAAGGTGTGAGTATGATCCTTGATTAGTAGATTTTTCTCAGCACCCACCTACACCAAAAAAGAGGGAAGAGTAGACACTATAAGCATCAAAATATGCACCAATTATATAGCTTTGAAGAGCACACTCAACCCACTCGAAAGAGCTTTGGATACCATAAAAGCCATAACAGGGAAACTTTGAATAGTGAGTGAGTTTGTGCTACAAGTTGCTATTGGAATACAGCTCAGATTTGGGTTGGGGTCACTCAATTGGTTCATGGTACACTTGGGCCAAATAAACATGCTGTCTTATGATACCCATCACTCTCTCTACGTCCAAAAAGGTTGAATCCCCAACCCCAAGGGCCCCTCCCCCACCCCGACACCCATCACTCTCTCTTTTATTATCCAATGTGAGATTTTAGCATTAACTATATCTAGTTGGAAGTGCAAATTATCATCACTTGCCCTACTTCTGAGTTCTGTCACTCCACATAAATAACTATTGTCTTTTACAGGCTTACACTGACTTAGAAAGATATAACATATACTTGCACACCCTAGGCTAGTATCCTAAGTAGATATCATGAATCATGCAGGAGCCATATCATATAACCGATGGAAAGAAATACATCAGGCAAATGTATATAAAGTCTGATTCGGGCTAACTCAGGATATGCTGACATATAATGTAAATTTGGTGGGAACAGAGTAAAAGTTTGAGTGGAAAAGAGAGAGAAATTCTACACATTGATCAAAATGTATAAGGATGCAACAAATATAGCTGCAAGATGTAATCTTCCATCACCTTTTTCATCAGACGAAATAGGTTATTATAGCAACCGAAAAATACATGCAATCCCATCTCAATGTGATTTCCACTCTTGTCAACAAACGAACCCACTTTTCCACCAACAAAAGACCTAGAGTCATAAATGTCTACCTGCAAAAGATACACATTACATTTTATGCCTAGAGAAATCAGTAAATTGAAGTTAAAGCATATAAGGGACCATCAGTACTTTATTAGTCATATGATAATAAACTTGTCATCTGTATTGTTTTATTGTTCAATTGGGGTGCCACAAGAGAGAGAGAGAGAGAGAGAGAGAGAAAGGGTGTGCCAAGTCATAACCTCATGTCCTTGATCCAAAAGCTCAACTGCAGTTGACATGCCTGCAAGGCCAGCTCCTATGATTGCCACTTTCAACTTTGGTCCTCGATGGTGCTGAGGTTCAGGTGGAAATAGCCCTTTTGGAGCTGAAAATAAACAATTATTTAGCAATATTAGATAATAAATTCACATACAATTATATTTGCAAGTTTTGTAAATGTAAAATAGATAAAAACATTCATGGATTTAAAATAACAGAACAAGGATACTCTTACAAGATTACCTCTCTCTGGGATCCCCCCTTAAACCATTTAATCAGATTACTTTGTCTAAGTTCAGAAAGTTGTCATCTTTAAATGGGCAGCCATAAAATCATGGTCATTTGCTAAAAGGTGCAATCTTAACCTCAGGTGGTGAAATGAATGCAAAATCATATTCAATTCCAAAGAGATAAATTCAGAAAAGACTTTCAAGAAAAAAAAATGTAAGAAAGCTGAAAATTTTGCCAAAAAAACTAGATAAAAAGAACCTTATAAACAAGAAAGCAGAAGATGTTCATTCAGTTCGCAAGTTTCCATCTTTATAACTACCCACAGAGCGCGTAGCTGAACATAGGAATCGAAGAATTTACCGTTCATCGTCATGTCAGAAACCATGGAGTCCAAGTCGGAGCGAATTACGGGCCTCCGAGACGTCAATCGGGTTGACGCCCGGAAGCTACTACGGAACAATAATCCAGTAGACCCAGACCGGAAATCAGTCCCCTTTCCGGCCAAAGAGGTCGCGGGAAGACATACCGAAGCTGAAGAAGCAGAAACCATGTCTTACAGCCAAGAAAGACAATCAGCAAAAAATGCAATTATTTGTTTTTATCAAAATATATGTGCTAGTAGAATGAGGAACTGGACATTAAACCATTCTAGGCAAAGAGGAAAATGGGCGTTTGGCAGGGAAAGTGACAGCAAAAAGGAAGTATCAGTGATTCAGTTTGGCACATGAGAGCAGCGAGTGGCCGAAACGAAGGGGGGATTGGGTGTTTGGGTTTTGTTCAGTTCATTAGTGTGATTATTTGCCGGGTGGGAGTTTTCGCTTTGAAGGGTCATGCAAACATTGGTTGGTTGGACGGATGAGAAGCGTTGGCCTCCACTACCGCCACTAATCGGGCAGTCCGCAGTGGAGCAACTATTCTGAATCACTTTGCTAATGTGGTCCTCATATTTGTTATGACAGCCGTTTTTGTATGACTTTCAAATTTGGTCTTTTCTCCCCTTCAAATTTTGTATGACTTTGTTAATGCTTTAGCGATTATAATCCAATTTACATCATGTTAACGTATCCTATCGATGTTAGGGGTCCTTAAGGATGGGATGTCATCCTTTTTTTCTCCACTTACTTTTCTGATTGTGTAAAATTTCACATTTTGTTTTTTTCAAAATATTTTTCCAAATTAGTTCGGGATAGAGTACTCAATAGCCAATGATCTCTACTTTTACTTTCCCTTATAATCAATCAATTTATGGATTCAGTGTTTTCTTTCTCCTCCGCATAAACCTCTACCACATAGTTTCAACTTTATTATTTTTGTGCCGATCAAACTTGGCAAACTTTTAAAGGACCGAAAGAATTTATTATTCAATTTATGAAAATTTGCAATGATAAAATGGGAGAGTATAATTATAAGGGGTAATTTGAGTTTGAACCTCATTTTATTGTCCAAATTAGACTTTGCACTCCTTTTAAAAAAAAAACTTTGTATTTGCTCTCCAACCCCGTATGAAAAGACTATGTCCCTCCATTAACAATTTTGTTGACTTTCAACATATTCTTGATCAAGGGGCATTTTTATTAATAATAAAGAAAGAAATATGTGAAAAAACAAGATTGTTACTTACATCAAATTAAGGGTATGTTTGACACATCTATCTGAAAAGATTTTTATAAGCTCCTTAGTAACTGTTAACTTTTAGTTATTGAAAATGTCTGAAATGAAAAATATGGTAGCTATTTGATAAAATATTGACATTTTGATTTATTTCCTTCTGATATACAAACTATTTGGTATACAATTTAATTCAGACAAACTATTTTTTATCTGATTTGGTAGATGTGTGTTTTGTTTTATTTTACAAGTATCGTGGTCTAGAACTGAAACTAATTCAAATAAAAACATCATAATCATTCCGCATATACATGTTTTTTCAACTTTTAGGTCCTTCATTACGAAGGAATGTTAAATATTGATACAAACTTTTTTATTTAAGTTGATAAAAAAGCTAGACTTTTTTTAGATGTTACCTAGTGTAACTCGTAAAAAAAGATCTTTTATTTTAAAAAATCTCAAAAATTGTTGTGTCAAATATACAACAAGAAACTTTTAGAAGATCTTTTTTTAGTATTACAAAAGCTAAAAGGTAAAAATGTATGTATACCAAATATGCACTTATTAGTCAATTGAGATATTAAAATAAGGAAAAATGATATTTGTAACTAGTCTAATCGGGTAATCGTAAATTGGACTGTAATTAGTTCGGTCGGATAATTGTAACTCGGCGGGCGGATAATTATAACTTGTCAGACATGTAATTGTAATTGATCAGGTAAAATGACTGTAAATCTACTCAATAGTTGTAAACCACGGTAGTGATATAAAATAATAAAAGTCATTAAGGTCTTTTTTTAAATATTTAAAATGAGACGCATTTTTGTCTTATTTTGAATCTTACTTATTTTAGAGCCCATATGGTAACCTAGTTTTTCGACTTGTTAGGTTTATTGCTCATTTTTTCACTAAACACTAACTTTTGATTTCGCGCGTTGAAATATGTAATAATAAGAAAATGTAAGATTATATTTACTTTTCTGGTTGTATTGGCTAAAGTTATCGTAGAGGGTCATTTTAGAAACTTTTCATATATTTTTTTCTTTATTAATAATAAAATCTATTTTAATTTTTCATAAATAAGCATAATCGGTTAATCCAAACACTTCAACCATAAATTCATAAATTTTAGCAAAATCAGCCGATATTGATATTACAAAACAGGCTCTCAATTACTCCCCCATGTCCCCCTATTATTGAGACGGAATGGAGTGACACGCCAACCAAGACAAAGCAACTTTTTGATAAAAGTAACCAATCAAAAAGCAAAAAATCAAATCTACTAAAGTGGGTCCCAAATTCCGCAAGTTTTTCTTCACAATGTCAAGAAGACTGTCTAGATGTAGACATTGTGATTGACATTGTTATTGCCAGAATGTATAAAATTATTTAAATAAGTAGAGAGATAATTTATTTACTGATATTAATGTTACTATCTTTCATGCCACATGTGTACCGTGCACATTGTAGCCATTAGATATGCTCTTACTCTCTCATTACATTTACTTTTTGCTTTCCAAATAAGGAATGAGGCAATAATAGTTAGACATCCAAAAAATGAAAAAATGAGACAATTATAGAGGGTGGATGAAGTATTCTATAATTCAAACCTTTTGTTGGGCAAGTGGCCCGACATGGGAGCATCCTGTTATCCCATAACGAGAAAGTGACCAAGGTCCAACTTGTGATAGGCCCAACAGGGAGGCCTATCCGATGACCGTCCATCTCACGAGACGCTCGACATTTGCACCCTTGCCCAAATAGGGGCTGTAATACCCGAGATTAATTTAAGAGAATTAATAGTACTACTCATACCAACAAGATGCATTTCCTTTTAAGGGAGCTCATCACCCAAGAACTCCAAAGTTAAGCGTGCTTGCACGGGAGTAGTCTTGGGATGGGTAACCCCCTGGGAAGTTTCTCAGGGCGCGCACGAGTGAGGACAAAGTGCGCGGAAAAGGCTACTGGCGGTTTGTGAGGACAGTACTAGAGGTCAGAAGTAACTACCTCGGGGCCTACGGGGCCGGGGTGTTACAGGGGCAGATGATGATCCAAGAGCCTCGAAGAGGGCGCTCAGCATGGCCCGAGCGGCGGGCCCGGCCTTGAGCTTGCTTAGATCCAGGGTCGGGGAGCTCGGGGACGATCGACCAAGACATATCGACGAGAAACACATTTAATACAATAGATTTGGTGGTTGGGGAGCTAGCTACTCACAATCTCCCACATCATCACTACCCCCTACCCTCTTGATAGTATAAATAGTAGCACTTGTTTTATAGTTAGGGGTTGACAACTTATATTATCTAGCGATAGCAATTATTCCCTTGCATTCTGAGCCGAGATTAGATGCCCGGCCTTGGCTCATAGTAGGATGCACTTACTGTTTTTCTCTTTTGTTACCATTTGCTTGTGCCATTTCACACGCTCAGTCCACTACCATATCCTACGAAACCCGGTCAAAGGAAGGTGTTGAACATTTGGAGTTGAAGGAATAAACCTCAATACCTGTTTATCAAAAAATAATTATATATTTATGACTAAAATAAAGACTATTTAGAAATATGTGACTAGTGTGTATAATTAGTGACATTCAGAAAAATATGTCAGCGGGGGCGACTTCCCTTGGGTTAAACAAAAATCACCAGACAAATTTGACTAATCAAGTTAAGGAAAAAATTGTAAAATCAATTATAAATAGTAAAACATTCTTTGGACAAAAGCATTATAATAGCATGTTTAATTAAATTTTCACTTTGTTAAAATAATTGTATACACGACATTTTTAATTTGTGAAAAAATATGTCAATAAATAAATGTTTGTGTAACTACTAATCATATTTGTGTAAATAAGTTTTAGTTTAGTACTCCATTCGTCCCCCTAATCTTTAAGAAAAGTAGGATTATGTGGTTGACAATGAGTTGATAAAGTGAGAATAAAGAAAGAATGAATTGAAGCCACACAAATGTTACCAAATATGGTATGAGATCATAATAGGGAGACAAAAAAATGAAAAATGGAACAATTATAGGAGACAGAGAGAGTAATATTTTAGAGAAAGAAGAAAACATTTTTATCAAATGAAAAGGTTGGTGTTTGATTATTCTTGGGTTTTTAATATTTCCTTCGAATTTTCCACGCAAATTACATCCTACAGCCGGATGTACCGTGCGCATGGTACAACCGGGATTTTTTAGTCTTTCTGCGCCTCTTGCCCTCGCATCAGCTTCGCACTAGACCTTTGCTCCGGATTTCGCACAGGACTTCACACCAGACGTTTTCGCACAGGACTTCGCATCTCGCTTCTTCAATCTCGCGGGTCTTCTTCGATCTGATTTCGCACCAGCAGCTCGTCACCAAAGTTCACCACTCACCCCCTTCTTCACCCTTCTTACCTACTTACCTCTCCTCCCCCTGTTTTTCTTTCCGACGTAGTTGTCGGTGTAATTTCACTGTTTCAGCATGGGGTGATTTTAGGAGACAAGAGGAGCCTACTTCATTGCTTAGGAATCCTTGTTGCTGTTAATCTCAAATGAGTTTTACATTAAACTCAAACGAGTATACGCCTAAAAGGAATGAACATACATAAATGACTATTGAACACATTAGAAATGAGTTTTATGTCAAGCTCAAATGAACACAACGTTCAAAATGAATGAGCATACACAAATGAGTTTTTGAATTTTTTAAAACTTATTTTCTAAGTTATAAATGCTCATTTGGTACCGTTTTATGCTCATTTGAAAATGTTGCACATTTCAAATGTATCCTACTACATTAGATACACATATTGAAAAATAATAAAACAAAAGTCAATTAGAAGATAGGGAGTAGAGAACACTTATGCTCATTGGTAGGCTCATAATTCTCATAAAAAAGACCTGATCTCATCAAATTGTATCAATGCTCATTTAAAAGAATCCGTGTTTTTCCTCAAAATTACAAAACTAGCACCCTATATTTGATGATCACACAATGTTGATGAGTTACTCCTCTAAGATTGATGGGAGTTGGACAAAGATAACTCTGTTTATACTGAGTTTTTAGTCCCTACTGGCTACCTAGTTTTTGGAGTTAATTTTGTAGGCTGAGTGAAAGAAAAGAGAAGTTAATTGCTGCTGAGCCATCTATTGTACTGCTTGCGGGGATTTTCCAAACATATGGAAATGTTTGTTTCACTTAAAACTAAAAATATTAAGGCCAAAACATGCATTTAACCAGACACTCTCAAGAGTAATGCTCTTAAAATATTTGCATTTTAACATTTTTGGATTTATCACAAACTCAAGGTTATTTAAAATTTAACTATTCAAGATTGGAGTTTAGATGTAAATGACTTTCTAATACAACACGCCTTGATTTGTAACCCATAACTTACTATAAAGTATAAACATTATTTTTTTCAGCCTGAGTAAGACTTATCATAAATCTAAATAATCAACAATTCAAAATAATTAATTAAAAAACAATACAAATACAACTAACTAAAATGGCAATACAAAAAAGCTAATAAATTACCCTTAAGAGCTGAAGTTTCAGAATAGAATAAAAGAATTACCTTTGAAAAACACAACAACCCCATTAAGATTTATCAGAAATCTAAGTAATCATTAATTCGAAATAATAAATTAAAAAACATTACAATTAGAACTAACTTATTGTAAATAATCAATCCAAAAAAATAATTAATTCTAAAAAATTTGACACAATTTTGAGAATAATGATTAAGAGTATAACATCATTCATCGAAATAAAAATAAACTTCAATGACTATTATAAGACTTTCTCATTAAAAGATCTACTTTAATATCAGCTTGCTTGTTGACCACCATATAGCTCCCATATATGATTGATGAGATCATTTTTCAAGTCTGTATGAACTCTCTTGTCTTGAACTTGTTTCATTCTTCTGATCATTCGAGACAATAAAATTATAATCACGCTCTAATTCCACATTTTCAACCCTTTCATCTCCAAGAGGTTGCCAATTTTCAGGATTCACTCCTTGACAACTTCCACTCTCAATGATCATATTATGCAAGATGATATAAGTTTTCATTATCTTCTCCAAGTCTTTTTCCTTCCACATACGCGCGGGACCTTTAACAATATGTCATCCACTTTGCAAAACTCCAAAAGCACGCTCCACATCCTTCCTTGTAGCTTCTTGGCGTTGAGAAAATATGTTCTCTTTAAGAGAAGAAGGCTGAGAGATAGACTGCATCAACGTAGCATGTTGTGGGTAAATTCCATCAGTCAAATAATACCCCATATCATATTGATGCCCTTGCACTACATAGCGACGTGGTGGTGTAACACCATTAATAATATCATCAAATAGTGAAGATCTGTCTAATACCGTTATGTCATTATTCGTACCAGCCATACCAAATAATGCATGCCAAATCCACAAATTCTTTGAAGCTACAATCTCTAATATGAGAGTCGGGACTCGTTTAAAACCATTTGTATGTGTACCATGCCAAGCGGTTGGACAATTCTTCCAATGTCAGTGCATACAATCAAGACTCCCTAACATACCAGGAAAACCTCGTTTTTCCGCTTCTTGAAGCAATCCTGAAATATCCTTTTTATTTGGTTTTCTCAAATATTCTTGTTCAAAAACACTTATCACGGCATCACAAAAATGCTTAAGGCTTTCAATTGCAGTGATTTCCCCAATTTGAACATATTCATCCAAAAGATCAACTGAACAACTATAAGCAAGCATCCGCACCGCAGCTATTGTTTTCTGTAAAGGACTCAGGCCTTTTCTTCCGGTCGCATCAAACTTTGAAGAGAAGTAAATATCATTTTTCTCAATTGCTTCCAAAATGCGAGTAAATAGTTCCACATCCATTCGAAATCTTCTGCGAAAATGATCTGGTGTATACTTTGATTTCTCACCATTGAAATAGTCTCTAATAATTACCTCATGACGTTTTCTTCTATCGCGATGAATATAACGCCTACTACTTGTTGTACCCCCATGACCACACTTCTTACCTCTCAAAAATGTTGAAACTATTAGTGAAGCATTGATGGCAGTGGTATGAATCAAATCATAATTCTTTTTTGAAATACTGTCATCTTCTTTTGATTGTTCATCAAATAGTGTTTTCGCCAACGAGGGAGAATCATAGCAAGAAGATGAACTATCGTCGTCAGGTTCTGACTTTGAAGAAGACATCACCATGTTATGTCACCTATAAATCATGAAGCAAAAATATGAAGTTAGATCTACGTACATAACTCAATTATTCAAAAATCCCCCCCCCCCCCCCCCCCCTCTAAGATCGAATATTTATGAAAAACAAATTATAAAAAAGAAAAACCGAGAAGATGAAACGATTGCATGTATATATGTATGCTTCCCCTCTAATTTAAGTGTAAGCTTCATATATAGAGAAATGTTGAGGTCCGGAATTTCATACCAGAACCGCCGTCTGGAAGGCAGTGTTTGGCCGCCTTCCCGGTGAAATTTTTTGATGAAATTTTTATGACATGTTATTCATCAAGTCTAGTTTATCCACAAACAATTTAAGCTAAAAATTCAATCGGGAAGACTGACAAATAATTTTTGGAAGTTAACTGTGTTTTATATGTAAATTTTGGCGCAGTTATCTTCCAAAAAACATTTGACGGTCTTACCGATTGAACTTTTAGCTGAAATTTTTTATAGATAAACTAGACTTGATGAATAACATTCCATAAAAAATTCATCAAAAAATTCCACCGGGAAAGACCCCAAATTCCGTCGTCCGGACGGCGGTTCCGATCAGAAATTCCTGACTGGAAGAGTACTCTCAAAAATATATATGTATATATGTGTATGGGGGGTGGGGAGGGGCGTGTGTGAGAAAAAATTCGAAAATATGAAGGAAGCTTGATGTACGTACCTGGAAGCTGCGACTATTCTCAACTATGAAGAAGGTTTGAAAAGAAGTTACGTAAAACAGACCTTGCACCTCTTTTTTAGGTATATACACGTAGAACCAATTCTTTAGATTCACAATTGGGTTGGAGCGAAAACTTTATTTCAAATGACTATGTATCCACTTAAGCTATACGGGCCGTTTAAATTAATGACATGTCCATTTTTTAGGGGTCCAATTGATGTTGATGCTCTAAGGCGTATTGTATAGTACAACCTTCCCATTTTCCTATGCCACGTGAATCATATCTGTCTCTCACTCCCGAATTACCGGTTATGATTTGTGAAGTTTTCCTTCTCTATTTCGAATATCCCAAGCATCATCCTCACGTGTGCCATTCATTCTCTTCCACCTCACGAGTACCGATTAACTTCACAAGACGACGTTCCTTCCTTTGAAGGTTTCCCATTTCCCACTCCCCCTCTCAAAAAGAGTCTTTTGAAGTCAGAACCAGAAAGAAGAGCGTCGTTCCTGCGAAGATCCAGTTTCTCAATCTGACTCGCCTTCAGGTTCAATTCCCATTCCTAACTTCTATTTTAAAAGGGAAAAACCTTTTTTCCGGTTATAAGAATTCGAATCTTTACGAAAGAGACCAGTTTGTTGCTAGAACTCTGTGATTTGTTTTTTTTTTGCGAGGGAGCTCTGTAATTTTATATTCATGTGATAACGTAGGCGAGGCATTTTCTCTAGGATCGATTATGAATGGTTGAAGGTGCCACACCAATTGATTTTCCAAATTCGTTATTAGAATTTAGAAAGTACGGGCGTGGAAATTTGGAATGTTGAAACAAGGGAGAAGGGGGACACCCAGATTTTTAATGAATCTCGAATGTGACAGAAGATCCCCAAATTATATCCAACAACCGTAGTTCAAGAAGTTCGATCCAATTGGCTCCATCCAGAAAGGCCTCCTCTTCCACAAACCCACCCCTCAACAAGAACAAAACCTCTTCATCCACTCCACGTTAATTGATCGCCTGAAAACCTCTCTTTCCACCGCTCTCGATTTCTTTCCTCCTCTTGCTGGCCGTTTTGCTAAGGACGAGGAGGATGAGAAGAATAACACCTCCACCGTTTTTGTCGGCTGCAATAATGCAGGTATTGAGTTCATAGAAGCCAAGGCCGCCGGCATCACCGTCGCGGCCATTTCTTGATCCATCCAACGACGGGATCTACAAGCCACTGTTGGGAGTGCAAGTAACGGAGCTTATCGACGGCTACTTCATCGGCTGCACTTTGAACCACGCCCTCGGCGGCGGCGCTTCCTTCTGGAACTTCTTGCGTTCTTGGTCAGAGCTCTCACGCGGTTAGGGGGAATTGGGGAAACGGCCATTTAACAAGGAGAGTTAATGGGTGGTTAAAAGTTAAGGGAAAGGTCTTAATTTGTGTTTTTTTGGTCCACCTTAGACCTCAGTGTCATATACGAGATTCATTAAAAACCTTGGTGTCCTTTTTGGCCCTTCTCCCGTTGAAACAAATAGATTGCAGAAGCAATGGGAATAATTTCTTCAATAAGAAATGAGGACAACAAGCTAGTTTATGGCAATCCTATATTGTGTGAGCTCGGGTAATATACTAATATGCCTCAGGGGTATAGTTTTCATGACGTCCTCCTGGCATAGACCAGGCTATGCTTCCTAAGTTAGGAGTCCAGGTGTGGAGAACATTCGCCTTCACTGAATAGCTCCAAACATCGATTGGCATTAGGTATCTACTATGCAATCAGGGTTACCCATGAATGATTTTTCAAATCTATTTCAAACGGGCTACCTAACCTGCCAAGTTTGTATTTTATTGTGATATTCTTTCCCTATTCCCTTTTATTCATTTCTGTTTCTTTATGTATCTTTGCAGTCAATTTTTTTCTTTATGATTTTCTTCGTTTCTTTAGATATCATTTTACATCATTGCTTTTGCTAAAGTTTTGCAGTTTATTCATTGCAGTTTATTTAGACATTAGGCTCTTGTTTTGAGTTAAGATGGTGGATATTAATTCATTTTCTGTATTTCATCTCCCTCCGTTCTTTTTTAGTTGCAACGGTCAACATTTCACATTTGTCAATGCACGTCTTTGACCGTAATTATATCTTAATTCTATTAGTAAAAAACATTAAAAATCAGATTTTGAAAATTTGTAATGAGATGAATTGAACAATATTTTTTTTAAAAAATAATTTTTATAAAATAATAGCGTAAATGTAGTCAAAGTAGAGCATGTGAATAGTGTAAAATTCAACATGTTGCGATTATAACGGAACGGAGGATAGTATTATATTTATGGTATAGTGTATTCGAGTATCTCACACGACTACTTGTCGTGTAGTCGTCTAGGCAACAAGGCATGAGATTGCAATGGTAAAAATAGGTCCGACCCAGTAGGGCAGCATGGGTAGGCCTTGTCCAGGAGGCTGACTTGAGCACTTGCTGACTGAGCAGACCAGTCCTGTGGAGTAGCCTGGCTTCGGCCATAGGCTGCACTCCGTGAAGGGTCCGTTGGTGTTAGGGTCGGCCTCATTGGAATGCCATAGCGAGTGGAAAGACCTCCGCCCCATTCCGTCCACACGGCCCCTTTTATTGCACATCCGCAACCTCTGCGTAGTTCCAAGTGTATATTTGTGTCATCCTTTAGCATTAGATCTAGGCTAAGGATGTGTCACTTTTTTTTACTTGTCAAGAAATCAATACCCCCCCCCCCCCCCCCTCCTATCCCTATTAGGGAGATATGTTTTCCAATCTGTCTTTCCCGAAATTATGAATGATTTCCCAATTTCAACTTTACTAACTTGTTAGCTTATCGCTTTTCTCTGATAATTTCACTTATTCCTTTTAGTTGACTCGTATTACTTTTTCTTTCTTTAAGAAGGGTGCAATTGTAAAATTTCAACCGTCTCTTTTTAGTTTCTTACTAGTTGTGCACTTGTGCCAAACCAAATGTGTTATACATTTTGGGGTAAAAGGGGAATTAGTTTGTGCTTCTCTCTTTGCAAGTGTTAACCCTCATTTTTGTACTTGTATTTTGGCTCACAAAACCAATTTTAGTAAAGTGTATACTTAACCTTACCATTATCTTCAAGGACTCAAACAAGCATCGTCTGTATAGCTTTGACGATTTCTAAAAGCCCTAACAGTGAGAATGTGAACCATGAAAATCAAAATCGACTAAAGTCTAGGATCCCATTTGGGAGTAATGAACTTTGCACAGTGAGGTGAAATGCTAGTTGTAGCTGTGAAGTTAGTAGTTCCCCCGTCTTTGGTAACAATAATTACACATGAATACTGAATAAAAACAAATAATATCACTGTGGTCGAGGATATGTGAACTAGATCGAAGGGTAAGTTTTATCGAACAATAATTAAGGTTGCATTATTGTATGATCTAGAATGCTAGAATGATGGACGGTGAAATAGTATCACATTTAAAAGATAAGTGTGGCTGAGATGCTCATGTTGTGTTAGATGTATCGACATAATAGGAAACACTGCTTGATGAAAGAGACAATCAGGCAAAAGATGAGAGTAGCATCTCTTGAAGATAAGATACGAAAGCCTCGATTGTGGTGGTTTGATCATGTGTGTAAAAGACCGATTGACACCTATAGATGGATTGAGAGGTGAGGAGAAGAGGCAAGGAGGGGCGAGAGGATGACTTGAACAAAAGTGGATTAGAGTGGTCGGGAATGGCATGGTACTTCTTGAATTGGACAAGAATATACGTGTAAAGGATTGATTTCTTTATATCCTTTTTATAACTTCGATTTCATATATCGGATCATGTAAGTCGACCCCAAATCTTTTTAGGACTAGGCTTGAATGTTGTTGTGTTGTTGTTGGTGGCAGCATTTAGCTCCCGTCGGCAGTAATTTGAAGGAACCCGGTCTATCGTTAAATTCTAACCCGGTGCTGTGAAAATCTCCTCCTTTGGCCTTTCATACAGCTGTGCAGTGGCTTTTATTTTCATACAAAACAACAATGTTTCAGCACTCTAGCTTATACTGATCCAAGAATTACAGGAACTCTAAGTATGGGCTTTGACCGTGGGCAACAGAGCTAGGAGCTTTATGTTTTAACCCATATCAAATTTTGACTATGATTCATAATGTGACTTCGTAATGGTTGGATACTTGGGTGCAATATGGCATGCTATTTTGTGCTCGGTTAACTATACTGATCCAAGAATTACAGGAACTCTAAGTATGGGCTTTGACCGTGGGCAACAGAGCTAGGAGCTTTATGTTTTAACCCATATCAAATTTTGACTATGATTCATAATGTGACTTCGTAATGGTTGGATACTTGGATGCAATATGGCATGCTATTTTGTCTAGCTTATACTGATCCAAGAATTACAGGAACTCTAAGTATGGGCTTTGACCGTGGGCAACAGAGCTAGGAGCTTTATGTTTTAACCTATATCAAATTTTGACTATGATTCATAATGTGACTTCGTAATGGTTGGATACTTGGATCCAATATGGCATGCTATTTTGTGCTCGGTTAACCTGGAAAAACTAACACCTTCAGTGACACTTGTAGTTTTATGAAATCTTTACTCTGTTGCTGTACAATGCTTAGCTTAACTGTCCCAAAATTTTCAGGTTAACAAAAATGTCAATAAAACCAACAGTTGCTTTCAGAGCCATACTTGTTGGAGGAATAGCCGTATTTGCTAAAGTTGGGGGTGCCATCAAAGCTGCAGGGGGGGTTAAAATTGGCGCAGCAGCAGCTGCAATGACAGCTGCAGCATCTGCAGCTATTTCAGGACCCAAACAAGAACTGCAGGATGCTCCTAAGCAGTTGCCAAAATAACTGCTACCGAGCGAAGCTAGAATTTGGGGGCAGAGGAAAATGCATCAAGTTGATGGAATATGGTAGTTTATGGGAGAGTGTAGGGCGTTATATGGCTAAAACCATGACATTAATTACAAGTTTAAGGGTTCAGCTGTCATTGCTTGTTTAGGTGTTTGGTAAGAGCAACATAACGAGGAAGAAATGTTGTACTATAGTACTCTGTATAATATACTGGTCTTTTTTTGCCATGTAAGGATACTGCATGTGTTCTTTTAACTCAAGTTTTCTCATTTTGGCATGTAAGAATGTAATTCTTAATTACAACACACTGGAATGTGACCAACTTCATCCAACATTGCAAAATTCTAATTTATATATTTGATTTTACAATTATACACCGATGAATAGTTCCAAATAGCATGAAAATTTGTAATTCTGATTCTCAAAGGTTTTTACAAATATCATAAATAATTTCTTAAAACAGTCATGGTGATGGCAAGATATTGTTGGAAAAAGTCATGGTTAGAGCCGTGAATTTGGAGGCCATGTTCAAAATGCAAATTTGAGGCCTCGCTTTAATGTAAAAAATTTAAAAAAAATCTCGATCTAAATTCTTATTATACTCAAATTAATTGAATACTCATTAAATAATGCAATTAAATATTTAAAGGTAGTAATTTCCCCCTTCCAAATAATTAGGGTCTGTTTACTAACAGAGATATTTTCCAGTTTTCTAGAAAATTGTAGAAAGGAAAACTAGAAAACAAGAAACGTGTTTACCAAAGAAAATTGCTGGAAAACTAGAGAAAGGAAAACAGAAAAACGCGTTTACCAAACCGTTTTCCAAAACGAAAAAAAAATGAGACATGTCTCTCTTTTCTTTAAGGAAAAACTGTCAAATAGGTTCTCGAACTTTCATAAAAAGTCAATTAAGTCCTTCACTCCTTCTATAGGAGACTCTGTCCGGCCGTCACGATTTGGGGCGGTCCCCGATGGAATTTTTTGATGAATTTTTTTGAGCATCTTATTCATCAAGTCTAGTTTACTCATTCTAAATTTCAGCTAAAAAATTCAATTGAGAACATATTCAAATTAATTCGAGAATGCAAAAATGCGCAGTTATCTTCACGAATTAATTTGAATGTGTTTCTGATTGAATTTTTAGTTGACATTTGGTATGAGTAAACTAGACCTGATGAATATAATGTTCAAAAAATTTCATCAAAAAAATCCACCGGGAACCACCCCAAATTGTGACGACCGGACAAAACCTCCTATAGAAGGACTTAATTGACCTTTTTATCAAAGTTTGAGGACCTATTTGACAGTTTTTCCTTTCTTTAATGATTTGGAGAAGTGACTTTTAATAGTTTTTCAAATTTGGAAAACGCAGATGCTACAGACCTTTGCAATGAATTGCATACTTACACCTAGTGGTGGGTCCGGTCCCGCTCCGATGTCGATTCCATTCTAATACCTCCATCCTCGTACCTTACCCCTTACCCCTACTCTACCCTACCCACCCCATCCCCCACCCCGCATAACCCTTTTCCCTGCAATGACCCTACCCCCACCCCAATCCACCCTACCTTACCGCCACCCCCTACCACCTCAACCCACCCTACCCTACCCCCACCTCGTATATTACCCCTTACCCCTACCTTACCCTTTCCCACATGCCCCCTACCTCGGCCCCACCTTACCGCCATCCTACCCTTCCCCTACCTCAGCCCCACCCTACCGCCATCCTATCCCAACTCCCTATCCTACCCCTTCCCCCACCCACCCCCACTCATACCTTCCCTACCCTGACCCCTATGAGTAGGTATGGGTACGTGGGTATAAAGGGTTTTAGGGGAGTATGGGTAGAGTGTAAGATCGTGGTAAAGGTAGGGGTAAGGGTCAAAGGCGTGGAATTGGGTGAAGGGTGGGGTACGAGATATAGAGACAGGATAGGGTTAGGAGTATGGGTACACGTACGAGGTGGTCGACCCACATATTATATTATATATTTGCGTTCATGAATGTTTGTGTGTCTATATATGTATAGGATTATTTTGGACATTTTAGGGCCTGTTTACTAACAGAGATATTTTCCCGTTTTCTACATCTGTTTTTTGTTCTCCAATTTTCTGTTTTTATTTTTCAGTTTTTCTATCTTCATTTTTCTGTTTCTATTTTCTAGTTTTCCATTTTCAAATCTGAAAACATGTTCATCAATTTTTTCATCCAGATCTATGATCATCCAGAAGACTGACACGTTTACTTCACATGTTACTAAATGATGCTTATTAAGACTCGTGTTAATAAACGACGAATAAAATAAGCAATGTTAAAAGATCATGTTTACTTCAAAAGGTTTAAAACACCATTTAACATTAAAATGTCCAAAATAACCCTATATAAACACACAAACATTCATGAACACAAATATATAATATAATATGTGAGGTCGATCACCTCGTACGTGTACCCATACTCCTAACCCCTACCATGCCCCTATACCTCGTACCCCCAGCCTACACCCAATTCCACACCCCTGACCCCTACCCCTACCCTTACCACGATCTTACACTCTACCCATACTCCCCTAAAACCCTTCATACCCACCCATACCTACTCGTAGGGAAGGAAGGTATGGGTGGGGGTGGGTGGAGTAAGGGGTATGGTCGGGGTTGGGTGGGGTAGTGGGTGGGATAGGGTGGTGGTTAGAGGTAAGGGTGGGGGTAGTGAGTAAGGTTGGGGTTGGGGTAAGGAGTTGGGATAGGATGTCGGTAGGGTGAGATCGGGATCAGGGTTGGGCCGAGGTAGGGGAAGGGGTAGGATGGCAGTAGGGTGGGGGTAGGATGGCGGTAGGGTGGGGCCGAGGTAGGGGGCATGTGGGAAGGGGTAAGGGGTAATATACGAGGTGAGGGTGGGGTGGGGTGGGTCAGGGTGGGGTTGAGGTTTTTAGGGGGTGGCGATTAGTGTAGGGTGGATCGGGGTGGGACCGAGGTAGGGGCATGTGGTACGGGGGTGGGGGTAGGGTCATTGTAGGGAAAAAGGGTATGTGGGGTGGGGGTTGGGGTAGGGTAGGGGTAAGGTACAAGGATGGAAGTACTAGAATGGAATCAACATTGGAGCGGGACCGGACCCACCACTAGGTGTAAGTATGCAAATTCATTGCAGCGGCCTGTAGCATCCGCGTTTTCCAAATTTGGAAAACTAGTAAAAGTCACTTCTCCAAATCATTAAGGAAAAGAGAGACATGTCTCATTTTTTTCGTTTTGAAAAACGGTTTGGTAAACGCGTTTTTCTGTTTTTCTTTCTTTAGTTTTCCAGCAATTTTCTTTGGTAAACACGTTTCCTGTTTTCTGTTTTCTAGTTTTCCAGTTGTTTGGAAAACTGGAAAATATCTCTGTTAGTAAACATGTCATTAATGTTAAACGGTGTTTTAAACCTTTTAAAGTAAACATGATCTATAACATTGCTTATTTTATGTGTCGTTTATTAACGCGAGTCTTAATAAGCACCATTTAGTAACCTGGAAGTAAACTGTCAGTTTTCTGGATGATCACAGAACTGGGTGAAAAAATTGATGAACATGTTTTCAGATTTGAAAATGGAAAACTAAAAAATAGAAACAGAAAACTGGAGATAGAGAACTGAAAAATAAAAACAGAAAATTGGAGAACGAAAAACAGAAGTAGAAAACAGGAAAATATCTCTGTTAGTAAACAGGCCCTAATGTCTACATTTTTTGTAAAGTGTTTCAATTTATGAGAACACTATATTATTATATAATTAATTAATTAATGCTGGTGGCCTAAATATAATACTAGTGCCTTATAAATATGAGGCCCCATGGGAAGTCGACCCATGTACTGTTTAACCTAATTAACATGTTAAAAGATGACCCTGGTCATGATATTGACTGAGATTAAGGTGGATCATTTCAACAAGAAGTAAAAGTAGTACTCCCTCCATCCCTTAAAACTTTGTTCAGTTTTTTTTTTTTGAATGTCTCACTAACTTTGTCACTTTCCTTTTTAAGTAAAGAATTTGTGGTTCCAGTGAAGGTCAAACTTGTCAAAATTTTAAGGGAAGAGGGAGTATCTTTCACGAAATTACCATCAATAAATAAGTTTTCTTTCAAGTCATTTTGAGCATGTTAGATGCTTGTTCCCGTGATTTACGTCAAAAAAATAATGTAAATTTTATTTGTGCACCTTCTAGTTCAGTTTTAAATTATAAGTTGAGATCGTATTATTAACGGTCTTTTTTTCAAAGTTTTGGTACATCGATATATTTATTGTAGAATCTTATAATTTCTTATTGGAATTTCGAACCATAGATTTTGACTCAACAATACCGATTTTACAACCTTGGCTTCAGCATAGACAGTTGCAAGTAAACCTCCATATCCAATTCGTGTTTCCTCCACTGTTCTCATTCCCTGTAATATCCATCCAACCAAAGAAAACATTAGAAGTTGAGATAAAAATGGAAACTGTTTTTTAGTAGAGCAATAGCTTAAACACCATGCCTTTTGGATGATGTCAGAGTTGATGCACATTTGAACTTGTGGATCCACAAGTGAAGTCAGGCTGCTCCACTGAATTCACCAAAAGATGAGGGCTTGCCGCTTCCAACTCTAGAATGACCTGTGGATAAGAGAAATTGATCTTAACTGGAAGAAGTTTTTACTATTCAGAAAATAAGGAGAACCTTCTTACAATTTAATTCCTACAAAAGTTGCCTACTTGTTGGAGGGGGACACGGTCCTGGTTCTCAACCAGAACTAACCATCCCATTATTTTCCTGCTGAGGCGGTAAACGGTTAAGAACCAGAAAAGGTTCCCAGCCTCGTGTCAGTCAGCTTTTGATTACTACTCCGTACAAAATAAAACCAGGGCGGATGGTTTCGTTCCCTATACTTTAAAATATGGTGACCAGGAATCAGAACCATACTGGCATTATAACCAAAGCAGCATCTTAAAGCAGCTTCACAGTTCCGATTACAGCCTGCCTTTTAGGTGACAAGGAACCGCCCAATCCAGAACCAAACAATGTCCCCTTACTTGAGTGATATACAAAGTAAATGTTTTTTTTTTAATTTTCTACTGAAAAAATAATAGAAACTTTAACTTCTGAATGCCATACAACAAGGTTTTCCCCTTCATGAAGGATTGGAGCAGGAACGTAAAGGTTACACTGTGGCCCAAAAGACTGCAAACCAATTGAAAAGAAAATTTGTATGTTAAAAGGGACAAAAACCTCCATGCATAATCAGTCATATTTAAACTAAGTGTATTATAATCAAAATTTCATAGTACCGGCCAAAAACGCCCTATGTTAAAACCATTGATAAATGCAATACCCTTGCTCCAGCCACGAAGTGATATATATGTGTCCATAACTTTGTCGACATTAAAGTGACCAGAGTAGAAAGCTGGTTCAGAATCGAACTCTGAAAATGAAAAACATAGAGCTTTTACTAGCCAGAAGGCACTGCTTCGATATTACATAGTACTGTGAAGGAGAACTCCATATTTGTTAAGTACTAAAAATCTCATTCCGGGGAAAAACAGCAACACTTGCAATACTGATCAATTAGGAACTAGGAGGGGAGTACAAATTTGTATGGCTTCAAACTTACTCAGTTTATTTTTCAGTTTCTTGAGTGCAGATACGTTTAGATTGTTGGTATATAAGTTTGGAGTGATACAATTGATCTTTGCTTCCTCATTTAAGTTATGGAGAGGGACTGGCAACATTCTCCACGTAGTCAATGGTCTTCCATCAATATAAACAGAAGACAAAATACCCTGCAAAGACAACAAAATGGACCATTGATAAACTACAATATCTCAATACCATTGCACTGTAGACAGACGAACAGGCTTCACCTTTCGGTCAAATAAATATGGCCCGTAATTTAGATGCCCCATATTTTCAACCTACAAAAAAATGAAGAGGAAGAAAAAAAGAAAATGATTACAATATATTAATGTTTGGAAGGACCTTGGACAAATATAAATGAATGGCAATCGCAGCAGTCATTGTAGACAGGATAGACATGAAGGGAAATAAAATCCGAATAAAAGAGAACCCAATTTCTCATTAAATGAACTCGAGATACTCTCATGAGATATTATCATTACTCCCCCCCCCTCCCCCCCTTCTTTGAGAATTCCCTCCCCCCTAATTCAGTGTAGAGAATATTCACTATCAGACCCACAACTATTAGGACCTTTTCACTTTGGGTCCCTAACTCTCATTTTTCCCACTTTGAGTGGTGCACGACTATGAATCTCTTGCCACTTTGTGTCATTTTGATCACTTATCTGATGAAAGACAAACCAAAAAATGTACAAAAATTGGCTGGATAAGTGATCAGATGAATCAGAAGTGAGAAGGCACCTGGTGCACCACCAGAAGTGAAAAAATTACATACAGGGACCAAAAGTGAAAATGACCTAATAGTCGTGGGACAAAAATTAAAATATTTTCTATAATTTACCCAATTTGACTTTGCAAGGAGTTCAATAAAATGAAATTGTGCAATTGAGATTTATTTAGAAATGAAAGAACCGTTATCAACAACAAAATTCCTCCTTAAATGATGACAAAAACATTATTAAGGGGCAGCCCAAAAAGGAAAGAGCGTATACTAAAAGAAGATAAAGGGACAATTTATATATTATAACATAATTGAATATACTGAATTCTCTTAACTTGGACAAAAAACTTAAGATGCAGCTTAATCTATATGTTTTAATGAGGCGGCTCCATCTTTAACTTCGATTCAAGATCTTAAGACAACATCTCGCAGATGAATTCTTAAGCCCATAAAATGATGGGAGAAGAAGTGCAGAACATAAAAATAAGAGGGGGGATGGTGTGTCTTATACCAATATATATATTCTGTTCCAGCTGGAAGGACAATTAGTGACTGGAAAGCCTATTGGCATGCTTGACCATCTTGTTATAGTGCCTATATATTTAGGTCTTTCTTCATTACTGTCTGAAGGGCATGAAAGAAAGACTTGTGCCCTGTCATGCACCTGTCAAATTGAAGAATGAGCATTCCAAAGCAATCCATTTACATCAATTCCTAACTAAGGGGATACTCTTTAACGCTCCGGTGATGGAGCTAGGACTTAACAATCTTACGACAACAACATCCAAGCCTTATCCCCAAAAGATTTTGGGATCGGCTAACAATCTTACATAACATAAAAATTTACAAGTCACTCTGCTACTTTAAAGCAAAGCGGGCATGAACATTAGAGGAAGACGACTTTGGAACTCGCACAGGGATCACTAATTAAGTAATGCGGTATAAATAGTGAAACGGCTTACCTTTGGTATGGACAATACACTTCTATTTCCATTCACAGCAAAATCAGATAGATATAACACAAATCCAAGCATCTGGACATTAAGAACATCCAATTACCATAATATATCCTTCATCCATTTGAATGATACATTGATACATAAAAACTATAGAACATCAATCATTAAAAAAAGAAACATTTATCTGTCAAACCTGACCAAGGGACTCCATCGGCAATGGGTTTTCAGATGTTATCATACCATCAAGGTCTTCAAAGTTAATGACATCAAACAAACGTTGAACACTCGGTAACTTAATAACTCCATAAGATTTCTTTTCATTGTTGGAAGGAATGGGAGTAAGTGGTGTTGTACTATACTTAGCAATCACTTCTCGTAGAGCTGAAAGAAGCCACATATTACAAAACGTCGAGCATGGTACTTTGACAAAATTAATATTCCTGCACATAAACTATACCTTTGTATTTTGGATTATCCACATCGCCAGATTCTTTGATAGGTGCATCCTAAAGAAGATAGGTATTGATCAGCTTAATTGATTATGATAAATGTACAAAAATCTTTACAAACTTCCTTACATAATCATAAGATGTAAGATCTGGTTTGTAATCAGATTGATCCGAACCGGTGTTTGCACCACTATAAAATCCAAAGTTTGTCCCACCATGTGCCATCTAGAGGAAAGACTTACCATCAACTTGCAATAAATGATACTTGATAATCATGTTAAAACGAGCAGTTGATGAATGGAAAAACTTACATAGAGGATGACAGATCCATTTCCTGCTAAGATATTTTCCAGAGAGGATGCTGTGAAATCTGAATCAGTGGAAGCAACTTTCTCCCCCCAGTGCGTAAGCCAGCCAGTATAAAACTCACTGATCGACCAAAATACAAATCAATGGAAATCAATTTATCAAAGCTGATGATGTGTTTTCTGTATTTAAAAGAAGTTAAGAAGACACAATCAAATAGTGACCTGGAAAGAGATGGTGATTTTCCAGGTCCATTAAACTCTTTCTGCAGTTTAAATATGGGCCAAGGATCATCTCCAGTTGAGAAGTCTACAGCTAAATTTGGAAAGCCAACAAGTAAAAGGTTGACGATATTTAAGGAAAAGAAAATGTCCACGGGATCTTTGGATTACGACACTTACATGAAAAGACGGCATCTCCACGAATAGTCCCTTTCTCTAGAGTTTCTCGGGTACCTCCATCTGTAGTATATCTGTAAGAGGTTTTAGATGCAAGATTCTATTTATTTTTAAATGGAAAAAATAGTTTATATTAACATGGTATTACAACAAACTCCATTTCAACCGAAATTTTGTGTGTCATTAGCACGGGAGTACAAAATTTTTGGTTCAACTAAAGCAGATACAAGGGAGTACAAAACCTCCCAAAATGTCATACATATCAATACACATGTGCATACATAAATACAGGTAGAAGGAGAGAGAGAGAGAGATGCATTTCGGAAACTAAAGCAGGAGTAGCATTACCCACACATTAAAACATTTAAACACTCCAACATGAAAAACTACACCAATAAAGCATTCTGGTTTTCTTTTCCACAGGGGCGTTGACATGACTTACAGAAGAACATCATATCCAAGGTGTCTTCTGGCTAACCTAACCAAATGATAAAGGTATGCCTTGTCATCTCCATATGAACCAAACTCATTTTCAATCTGTCCAGATGTCTCAAGTCAGAGCAATTGTCACACAAAATGAAATACAAGTTTTATAGAGCTATATACGCCCAAAATGTATACATTGCTATTCATTCTTATCAAGAGCCTCATTTTAGAATTTAATATATATTGTTGCTTTGTAGTTTATTTGTTCTAGTGAAGCTGTGGATTTTGAATCACCTGGACCATTGCAATAGGGCCTCCATTTTTGTAAAGAAAATGTGTAAGTTTTGGAAGTAATATTCCCCACCATCTCTCAACCTGTACTAGTCATTAGTTGCATGAGTAAACGAATTTAGGTTATCAAGTGACATGAGGAAAATATCAGTAAAAGGTACAAAAAATTCCTGGGTCTCTATTTGTAGATTGATGAATCACCGGTGTAGAGAAAACATACATAGTCAATAAAAGCTGGGTCTGAGGACCGCAGTCTTAGGGCTGGTTCTATAGCAAGCAACCAAGCCGGAAAGCCTCCTAAATCCCACTCTGCAACCCGAAAAGTAGAAACTATCACTTGGAACCTAGTCATATAGATTTTGATCTTGGAAATGGAGGTATGGGATATGACTGTTCGAGTACAAGTGTACAGTGTACTAGTGATTGCAACTTACATATGGAGCTAAAACATTCGAGGTCAAAGTAAGCTCAAAGAAAATCAAATATGTTGTGGCTAACCTGCACAAATGTATGGTCCAATTCGAAGCATAACTAGTAAATCTAGCTTCTGGCAAAGTCTCAAAAATGAAAATATATCTGCAATTCCTTCAAAAACCAACTGGCCTGCTCTTGGTTCATGTATATTCCATGCAACATAAGTTTGAATTGTATTCAATCCTAATGCCTTGGCCCTCAATAATCTATCTTCCCAAAACTGAAACCATCATCGCAATATTTAAAATTCCAACCACAATTATATACTAGAAGCCTAGAAACAGCAAAAAAAAATCAACAAAAGACGCATTAGCTTCCAAATCAACTCCAGCATGAGTAGACCTCAGCTGTTAGATAAGATTCACACAGTGACAACAGAGCCACTTCCGATCATCATCTATCATTGATAAATTGTTAACTACAAAGATAAATTGTTGATTACAAACCTGATATTACAGTAATAAATTGTTAATTTATCAGTGACATAACGAAATTCCAAGTGACATTAGTGTAGGTAAAAAAAATTAATATCAGAGATCTCTTTAACATACCAACATCGTGCTTCCATTTAACATTTCAAATGCAATGATATGACATAATTTAAGAAAGTTGTTATTAGACATGGCCACGTGGGCAAGTATTCATCATTGTCTCAAGGCCTATTGATCATTTTCGTCTTAGAATACTTATTCAAGGCGAAGATGAGATGATCTGGAAAGGTCTTTAAAATGTTTTTTTAGTTTTCTACCGTGTAATCTTGATTATATTTTATAGAATTTGATAGACATTATGAGTTTATAAAACTTGATACTCATTATGCCATTTTTGTCACAATACTAATCCGTTTTGTACTATCCAACTATCACATCCATTTCTCAAAGTCAAGTTGTTTAACAACTTCAAATTGTCCTCAATTTTTTATAACAAACACTCATATATATTTTCGTTGAATTAATCACATACTAATTAATCGCATGGTGTTATACTAGTTAGTTAAGAGCTTAAAGTTTTGATGCACTTATTCTTAAAATAGATTGTTCACCCATGGCACTTGTAATTAGAAGTCTACTTTTTAGAATACAAATTGCCTAACTGGTGCAAAAATACCTCAGGATGAATACGAAAGTAGTGCACATCACCTCCAATTATCCGGAAAGGTTTTCCATCTTTCCAGAACATATCATCCGCGATCTCAAATGTGCTCTGTGCGCCCCTCTACCAGCAAGCGTCGTGTTAACAAAGTTATATAAACAGGGCTCTTTTTTATACTTAAAATCATCTAAATGCATGATCTGAATGAGACTCACTGATCTAGAGAGGGAGTATGAAGAGGAAAAAGAAGGAAACAGAGCAAAAACTGGCGCGAATGCTCCGAACGCTAATACAGAAAGTAGGAGTATTTGTATAGTAGTCCCAAGCCATAGTCTTATCGCCATTGTTTGCCTCCAGTCAACTTTCCTTTTCTTGTAACTTGTCAGTTTATACTCCTTAACATTCAGTACCTGCAAAAACTCTTATTTGAACCCAAGACTTTTTCGAATTAATGTTAATTAATTAATTAATTACGAAAATAATGATGGTAAAAAATATTTATCTATCTACGGGTGAGTTTAACCATGTTTTGAGAAAGTCGCCCAACGGTTGGGCGACTTATAAGTCACCAAACGGTTTGGCGACTTATAAGTCACCAAACGGTTTGGCGACTTATAAGTCGCCCAACCGTTGGACGACTTTCTCCTTCCATATAAACGCAGACAACAGCTACTGCTAGCCACGCACGATCGTGCCCGGACGGGTAGGCACGATCGTGCCTAATTCCGAAAACAGAAGTTCATCGGTTTTTTTGCCCCATTTCAACCCAGACTCATCTTTTTGCAATAAATAAGGTCTCCCTTCTCCTGTTTAAGTGTTACGAGCGAGATGCAACACATTATAAAACATACAACACACATGTTCACAAACACATACATAAACACATACAACTCACCGGTAAAACACAGTACAATCATCAAACATTCATAACAATTAATCATCTAATATTCATACTCGAACACATAAATACAACATACAAGAGAAAATACGTAACATTTTGTAAATTGTTCCTACAACATCTAAAATGTTGTAAATTATCTAAAATGTTGTACAAGAAAATCTGCAATACAAAAGACAAAGTAGAAGTTGTCATGGTCATCTTGATCACTCGACCTAGGATCCGCTGTCACCTGCATGCCTACAAACAAACAAAATCGTATTAGTTAATTTTTACTATTATACTAATTCTTTTTTTTTTAATCATCAATTTTATTAATGTGAATTACTATAATTAACACCTTACCCACTGGACCCCCCATCGTGTCTTGATGATCTCTTCGCACATGTGGCCCTATTATGGCCGGTTTGGTGGCATTTTCCACATCTAACCGTTCCTCGGGGACATTCATCCATCTCATTCTTAATACGTGTGGACTTAGGTCTTCCCTTAGCCCGAAGCATGGATGAATCGTGCACGATTTCAGGTCCATTGTAAGTAGGCCAATAATCACGATCAGGAATGGGTTTGAAGACTCTATGATATGTGGCCGCGTATTGGTCAAATGAGAAAAACTTATCCACAAATGGAGCATAAGACAAGCTACGTTGTCAGCACACGGCTAACACATGAGAGCATGGAACTTATATATCTCCATCTTTTTACAAGTGCAAGTTTTCCGTTTCAGATGGACAGTTTGTTTTCTCCCACCCTTTCCCAACGTTCGGCCACCACAACCGGTTTCCACTTGAAATAACCCTCGGCCTAAATCAAATGGAGTAACTATGTGATACTTGGCCTTCTCTCTATTCTTATCAATTAAATCTATGATGTATGGGGAGTACTCGTGGCCTTCTGTCACTCTCATTTTACTGGTTTCACGCCTATTAACAAAATAAGCATTAACCCGGTAAAAGGAAACCTGGACCAAAGCGGTGATGGGCAAATATCTAGCATTTTTCATCACGCTATTGAAAACCTCTGTCAGATTAGAAGTGATGGTATCGTATCTGTACCCGCCATCATGGTGCAATGACCACATTTCCGGGGGAATGTTCCCCAGAAATTGTCGTGCCTCCAAACTCATTTCACCTATCTTCTTGAACCCACCATCAAACTTCTTTTTATGATGTTGCCGTGCGGTCCAGACAAAAAGATTTTTTAGATGAATGTCTTTGAAATGAGTGTGCACATTCGATGCAAGATGGCGGATACATAGCCTATGATGCGCATAAGGCTCCTCCCAAGTACTGGCCACCTCATTCATTGCCCTGACAATACCTCCATGCCGATCAGAAATGACACACAACTCCCGATTAGTGACAAACTGCCTAATACATGCCACAAACCATGGCCAACTATCCCCATTCTCAGATTCAACAACTGCAAAGGCCACTGGAAATATGTGGTTGTTCGCATCACAACCCATGGCCACGAGCAGTGTACCCTTGTACTTTCCATACAAGTGTGTGCCATCAATAGTAAGTACGGGTCGACAATGCTTAAAACCATGTATTGATGGCTTGAATGCCCACTCAGCCACGTATCAGTAAAGCCTTCAGGGAGATCATACATTCTAGTAAAGTGGGTAGACGGGGCAGTTGTCGTGACCGTATCACCATCATCTTCATCAGATTCTGTCATATCTTCACCATTGATGTTGTCGTCAGCATCATCATCACTTCCCTGCCCATCCACAAATGATGCACCGTTGTGCAAATACCTACCATCTTCCTGTATAACCATGTCCATTACAGGAGCATTTGAGGAGTTCCCAGCATTCACACCTGCATTGACATAATGCCTAGATACAACAGCATTTGATGTTGATGGAGTACGATAAGCGTCACATATGGATTCCTCAATGTATATCTCAAGCATTGACATGTCCTCCATCTGAACTATGGCCCACATATTTGTTATAGCTAGCTCATCAGTGAGGGGCATAAGCATGTACTTTCCCCCGTTCATGGGAAATTTCATTTTCAAACGCAAAGAACGGCTAGGATGAATCATTGTGGCTGTATGTATTTTTTGAAGGATCTCGAGCATGCAAGCACCATGACAAACCATGACAAATGTGATTGTACCACCTTCATGGCATATTTGACCAACATCCTCATAATAGTTCCATCCCCAATGACACACAATTGGGAAGCTTGAGAAATCCATATTCTAATAACAATTCAAATATATCCAAAAGTCAAGATTCACAAACAACTCACATTTCAATATGAAAATACCCAAATTTGGATATCTACATTCAAGTCTACATTTCAATACCCAAATTTAGCTACATTCAAATCCACCCAAATGCCCAAATGTCAAAATATATACATGTCAAAATCAATTTCAAATCAAATTTGAACATTTCATAATCTAAAAATTCCAAAAATTTAACATTCAAAACCCTAAGTTAAAAATGAGATGAAATGGAGTTTGATTTACCTACAAGAAAGAAGAAAGAGTGTTGAAGATGGAGGTTTGCCGGAGTGGGGTCGTCGGATATGGAAGTTCGTCGGAGATGGAAATGGCTCCGTCGTCCTTCGTCCTTCGTCTTTCGTAGCTGCTGCTTGGGGGATTTGGGGGTTGGGTTTCATTCGCAGTGTTCTGTTTTGTGGCTGGGCGCTGTTTTTACTTAATGGAAAGTCGCCCAACCGTTGGGCGACTTTCCCTGACCACGGTTAAATCCAGCAGTAGATCCGTAAATACTTTTAACCCAACATTATTTTCGTAATTAATTAATTAGCATTAATTCGAAAAAAACTCGAGTTTCTCAAACAAAATGTATTTTTTCTTGAGAGTTTATGTGCTTATGTAAAAAAAAAAACGTCCTGCAATGACCCGCCCTAGTTCGAGACATTTGGCATGGATCCGGTCTGCCCCGTCTTACAAATGGGATAGGTCTGTCCCGCCCCGCCTATACAATGGGGCGGGTCCGAGTATTATTGTTGACTCGTGCTGTCCCGACCCGTGCCACTCAATATACAAGTATACATACTTTTTCTTAAATTATGCAGAGTACTACAAATATACTTTAACACACATATGTGTATGTACAATAAATCATAAATTCTTTGATCTTATAATACATATATACACACATATATATATATATATCAAAATGAGATGAACGATGGATTATCAATGTCTTCTTTATATATAGCATTTTAGTACATTTTTTAGTTATTAATATAATTAATAGATTAACTATTCAAGTATAAGTAATTTTTCCTTGATTTTTGAAATTTTCAGCGTATCGTGAATTTGATTTAATATATTAATTTTAATAATTATTTAGAGATAAACTTTATGTAGATTCAATTGGTAACAACTTCCCACAAATAAAAATACATACTAGCTAATTAGGTTATGACGGAGTGGGGCGGACCCGCCCCGCATGGGGCGGGTCATGGGTCAACAACTTTGGACCCGTCCGGGTTACGGGGCGGGGCGGACCCGCCCCGCTAAGTCACGGGACGGGTCCGGGTCTTGCAGTACCCGCCCCGCCCGACCCATTGTCATGCCTATATGTGCTACATAGTTTAGTACAATAGGCTTCACCTACTTAGATTTTTTATTCGCAATCAAGTTTTCAACTCTTATTTGGTATGGTCTCATCTAGTTTGATCTTGTTTGGTTTAGTTTTAACTAGTGTGGTTTGATTTGGTAAATGTTTTGTCTCTATGTATTTTATTACAACTGTTGAAATCTGATTTTACGTGAACATGTCTGATTTGATTTGGTCTGCTTTAAAGCTATGTTTGGCAACCATAAGTCCCTGTCTTCTAGTTTTTGTACTGTTCAAAAAGTCTCTAAAAGCTTCTAGTTATATGTTTGGCATGACAATTTTTAAGAGCTTTTCAAAAATTAAAAGATCTTTTTTGAGATGCTACATGGAGCAACATCTCAAAAAAGCCCGTAACTTTTAGTATTAATCAGTCCTAACAGCTTGTATATCAAACTGAACTAAATCAAACAGTCAGCTTTTTACCGAACAGCTACCACATTTTCTTTTTAAAATCTTTTCACTCACTAAAAGCTAATAGTTATTAAAAAGCTCACAAAAGTATCTTTTCAGTTGATTGTGCCAAACATACACTATGTAAAAACATCATCAATGGAAATAATAAAAAGAAGAGTTATGAGCCCTAAGTAGGACTAGAATTAGCTCAAAATACATAAATGGGACTATAATTTTTTTATTCCCAAAATAGGAGCAATATATGTCCCTTCATATAATTTCTAAATAGATTTATTTTATTAATAGGAAAACCACAATTGTATTTATAATAAAAATATAAAAAAATTAAGAATTACTAATAACAATGGGAAAATAAAATACAAAAAGCATAAAAAAAATTACAAAATAAATAAAATAATTAAAAAAATAAAAAAACTTAAAAAAGTGTAAAAAAACAAAATACCTACTACCTCCGTCCCAAATTGATTTGCAAATTTGACTTTTCTTGGTCAAACAGTTTCATTTTATTCACTTAATTAAGATGTCAATTTTTAATTATATTCTAATTTGGAGTTTGCAACTTTGAAGAGATTTTAATGTAGTTTCCGAATATATAAATTTTAATTATTATAAATTGAATTAATTATGGATAGCGAGCATTGACTTTTATTATTGGTTCATGAAAAAATGTTGACTTTTCAAAACAATTTGGGACGGAGGGAGTAAAATATTTAAAAAAAATATGTAGGCCACCGCCACCATGTCCTCCACCTCCCACCATCATCGAAAAAGGTGTCATCTTACGCAAAAATGTCAAATTCCTCTGAAAATGCCATGAGCATATCATTTTTATTCTCTGGAAATACTTAGATTTTTTTCAATATTTTCATTATGATCACGTTTGTTTTTAACCTGACATTCTTTTTCGGTGACCAGAGGTGGCAGTGCTGGAAGGTGGTTGAGACTTAAATTTTTATTTATTTTTATGTTTTTTATTTTTTATTTTGTTTTATTTTTTTATGTTTTTCTATTATTATTTTAGAAATCCTATGAAGAATGATAAGGGAAAAGGTATAATGTGAAGAGTTAGTCCTATTTTTAAAATTTAAACTTTAACCTCATATTGTTGAAATTTTACTTTTATTTAGTCCTATTCAGGGATATTTCTCTATAATGTCATTTAACCTATTAACACATTAAATATAATTAAAATAGCATTCTAATTTATAATATTATAATACACGCTCCCAAAAACACTTCTATGCCTATTTTGTTATAGTTAAGTATACTAATATAAATATTTATGTAAATATAAATAATACAAAATAAATACAAATAAATATATATACAAACATATATACATACATACATATACACACACAAATAGGGCGACTTGTTAAGCTAAAAGGCTTTAGAATTAGGCTAAGTCTGACCTGTTTAGACAAACGAGTTTTTTGAAAAGCCCAGACCTTTCTTGATTATTAAACACTAGTATAGTACCCGTGCGATGCACGGAATATGCAATTTCAATGAATAAAAAATGAACTACATTAAATAAAAAGGCCATTGAACATATGAAAGAATACATTCATTACAAATTCTGAAACATATGAAAATGTCATTTCACAATTTAAAATTCAAATCTCATCGAGCCACCATACCGAATAAGTTAGTCTAGGGAAAATTCCGAACAGGACCGCACCCGATCATGTGGTTATAGGTGGAATTTTTTGATGATTTTTTAACATGTTCTCCGTCAAGTTTATCTTATGTCCACTAAATTGCAGCTAAAAATTCAATCAGAAAGTTAGTTAAATAATTTTTAGAATATAACTGGTTTTTTAATACATATTCCGGATCAATTTTGTTGATTAATTTATTTAACAGAATTTTCGAATTAATTTTTAGCTGAAATATGGTGGATATAATCTACACTGGAGAACATGCTCAAAAAATTGATTAAATAATAGATATTTAATTAAACCCACCAATCCAAAAAATAAAAAAGAAATCAGTAAAAGGCACGGTAGAGGCCTATCGTAAAAGAAATATGTAAAGCCACGTTTTACCATTTACTAATCTAGTGTTGCAAACCAATTACATTTTTGAAAATTCTTGGAATCCGAATAGACAAAGAGATGCCGGTAGTTTACACAGCCTTGTGAAGCGGATCGCCCATTAATTTAATGTCTAAACAATGTACTCGTATAATTCATTTGCCTCGTTAATTAACCGATGCAAAATACCAAACCTCAAGGCAAAATCCATTTATTTTAATAATTGAATTAGATCTGCCAACCCCAAAAAAGCTACAGTGTTCCCGCCCAAACTCTTTTGTTATTATATATCTATAGATATCGGGCCAAACCTTATACAGACCAGGCCACAGGCAAGGTTATGTATTAAGGAAGATCCTTGGCCAATATTTAAACAAAAGACAACCATTAGGCTGTTTTTAATTGGAATGACAATTTCTGTTTTGATATATGGTATGAACGGGTATATATGGCCTCGGCTGATAAATGTTTGGTTTATGTGTATTTTATAACTATCCAGGTCTGATCTTGTCTGGTTTGATCTGATCTGATCTGATTTGAGACTGAAAGCACTCCAAGCAAAAAAAATCCTTAAAGGCGAAGTGGGAGGTGTGTTGGGCTTTCGTGGTCTTCTTGGGCCACCTATAGTAAACAAGTTCTCAACTTTTGTTGGGAACAAAGTTATCAACTTAATATCAAATAATAAAAATAATACACATATAATATCACAATTATCATTGATCACCTCATTCATATTATATATCCAACAAATTGAACAAAGATACTTCTTACAATATACGGAGTACTTGAATAACCTTATTTATTTATTACCTAAATAATCATGTCATTTTCAATGAGAAATTTAAATCCGGCCGAAAGTTGTATATTTTATTAAGGGGTAAGGTGCAATTTATATTTAAAGTATATGCATAGGTGCAAATATAGCACTCAAATTCTAAAAGGTGAAAGTATATATATACTCCTAATGTTCCTATAAAGAAGCGAATTAGCCCTTGATGATTTAAAATAAATAATAAAATTAGAGGAAATAAATTTAACTAATACCAACTATCATCTAAAAATCAATAATAATACATACTTTTGAAATGATTTTCAATAATATCAACTATTTGAATGAAGAACAAAAACAACACGAAGTCATTTTTATACAAGAAATGCAATCATTTAACACATCAAAAACTAATACCAAACCATCTAATAAATGCTATTTTGAAATATTGTCACTTATTTAATGTTTTGATATTAGTTTTAATGAATTAAATGATTGGATTTTTAGTGAAAATCCACATCATAGCACTTTTTGATATTTATTCAAGTAGTTTTTTAAAAATTATTTCAAAAGTACGTATTATTCTTTGTTCATCAAAAATAGTTTGTATTATTTAAAAAAGAAAGATTGACTATATGTTAACATATTAACGTTTTAAATTCAAATCGTAAAATTATTATTTTTCTCTTGTAAAGAAACGATTCAAATTCATAAATATTAATTGTAGTCTTGTTGCAAAATTTAAACACATTGCTCCATTTTTGTAATAACATTTTTTTGTGTTGTTCAAACTTAACAAGATCAAATTTATTATTTTGTAATCTTGAAGTATTTGTCTTCATACAAAAATGTGACGTAAATTTTATAGCGTAAACAATATTAAAAATTAATGATTCTTTCATTGCAACACATATATACTAAATTGTAAAGTATTTAAACATTTCTGTAGTTAGCGATATTAAATTGTGATATAAAAATAATAAGAGGGGCATTGGACACAAAATAAAAGTTTTTAAAATTTTAATTTTCAATTTCCAAATTGGATATATAATTTATTTATTTTTTATTTAAAATTAATTTTGTTTATTTAAATTCAATGAGTGCTAATTTGTCCCCTTTTAGAAACATTATGAGTATCTTTACGCCTTTTAGAACTTCACATTGATACGCACCTGCACATATATTTTAATGGTATACTTGCATCTTCCCCTTTAATTAATATAATAAATAGGAATTACATGAAAAATAATTAAAATAGTCATCTTCAACAATTTCAGTCAATCCAACCAAAATAGTAACGATACTTATTTGATTATTAGTGCATGAAAAAATTGGCTAGTAATTGAGACTGATAGGTTGAAAATAAGTATTAACAAACAAGCTGAAAGTCTTTTTTATTACTACTTATAAAAGAGACGTGAAGTTAATATTTCAATATTAGGCATTGTCCAGTTGTCAAAAGTACTACTCATACTAATAATATGCATCTTCTCTCAAGAGAAGTCGTTTGCTAATAACTACACAATTAAATATACATGCATTAAGATCTATAAGAGTAATTTGAGAACTGATAACTCACTAGAAAATTTATAAGGTGTTTATAGAGATGTAAAAGGCTTTACCGATGTGAGAAGGTGGTGGATATTTTATGGTACATTTATATAAATAAATAAAAATACACTTTGCATGTGATAGCAGTGAACATGTGTGATGGTGAGGATCAATCGGAATTTGAAAAGAGAAAATACATAAAAAATAAAATATGAATTATTCGATGATGTGATAGTGATGTGACAATAATGTGAAAGTCATTTTTATGTGTTAGTAATTAAAACATTATGACACTATGTTAATTATTTAGATAGATTGCTACCTCCATTCTAAATTGATTTGCAAAATTAATTTTTCTTTATCAAACAGTTTCATTATATTTACTTAATTAGAACGTCAGGCTTTAATTACTACCTTCGTCCCAATTTACCAAGTCATCTTTGTCTTTTTCAGTCAAAGGTGTTAAACTTTGACTAATTATTTAAACTAATATATTTATGCAAAATTTAATAATTTTATACTTTTATGGTAATATTTTTAACAAAGAACATTTTCATATCATTTTCATATTATTAATACTTTCTCTATATAAACATATAATCGGTCAAAGTTAGACGTCATTGACTTGAAAAGTCAAGTTTGACTAAGTAAAATGGGACGGATGGAGTATATTTTTAATTTGGAGTTTGTAACTTTGAATAGATTTTAATGTAATTTATAAATATATAAATTTTAATCGCTAAAAATTGAATTAATTATTGATAAGGAAAATTTAACTTTAATATTGATTGATCAAACAATATTCACTTTCCAAATCAATTTGAGGCATAAGGAGTACTACTTCCTATATATGAAATACTCAAAAAATGATGTAAAGGTTTAATGCCCACTTTTTATTTCATTCATCGACATCATTATTCATCAACTAAATTATAAGTGGAAAGGACTATTATTTTGATTAAAAAATCATTTTATCATTCATTAGAAACTTAGCATGTGACGGATGGAGCAGGCACAATACCAAGTACATTGACTAGGATATTACAGTTGCATTTGTCCTCCTCATGTCCTTGAAAGGACTCAACATTTCATCCACTCATTCTCTCTCCCTCAGCATACAATCCATCATTGGCTCTTTCAAGAAAAGGTTGAAAAAACAACTTGGTCGTCACATGTTATGCATCGATCATCTTTCTAGCCCCCTCTTTCTGGATGTCAGATTAAAAAACAATTACAGAAGTTAGCTGGTTAAATACACTGAAAGTGCAAATCTTTTAGAGAATGAATGGTCTTCCACTTCCAGAACCAGATCTTTCTGAGTTCGTTGAAGTTGATCCCACCGGAAGATATGGAAGAGTATGTTGCGCCCCCTACCCCTCACCACCCCCCTCTTCGCATCCTTTACTTTTCGAAACTAACCTGCAACAGTCTTTCTGGCAGCTTTTTTTGTAAAGATTTGAGCTGGATTTGTGGCTTATATGCTTTCTTTTTGTTGTTGCAGTACAACGAAATTCTAGGAAAGGGGGCTTCAAAGACAGTGTATGTATTGGACTTTATCCCTTCTTAAATGTTGCACATCTAGTAAGGTTTTGGAGTTGTTGAATTTTTGTAGGTCTGTCAAGTCGCACCCACTTCAAATTCCCATCAAAGTTAAAACTTTTTGGTCTTTAAAGAAGATTGGATAATGGGTAGTTGATGGGTTTGGGAATCCTTCTAAAAAGAATTGCTTTTTTTGTATTCTTTTTTTTTTCTTTTTGAGAGTTAGGTGGGAGAGGTTGTTGTAGTGGGTCTAAAGTTGATTTAAGAATCTGAATGGGGTTGTTTGTTTTTCTAAATTCTGCAGCTATAGAGCATTCGATGAGTTTGAGGGGATTGAAGTTGCTTGGAACCAAGTCAAGCTCTATGATTTCCTACAAAGTCCCGAAGACCTTGAGAGGCTGTATTGTGAAATTCACCTGCTCAAGATATTGAACCACAAAAACATTATGAAGTTCTACACATCTTGGGTTGATACTGCCAATAGGAATATCAATTTTGTCACTGAAATGTTCACTTCTGGAACTCTCAGACAGTAATATCCTTGATCCACATTTTTTTTTATTCATTTTCTTCAGTTTTTTTGCTTTCTTTACTTTTGGGTGTATTCGGTTAGTTAATTCTGGATTGGTTTTGCAGGTATAGGCTGAAGCACAAAAGGGTTAATATTAGGGCAGTGAAGCACTGGTGCAGACAGATCTTAAACGGACTACTATATCTTCATAGCCATGATCCTCCAGTGATCCACAGAGATCTCAAGTGCGATAACATCTTTGTGAATGGGAATCAAGGAGAAGTTAAAATTGGAGATCTTGGTCTAGCTGCTATCCTTCGAAAATCACATGCTGCTCACTGTGTTGGTATTCTACTCTCTAATTTACGCCCATTGGCTGCAACATTATTATTAATATTTTTATTATTATTATCATTATTATTAGAAATAAGGACACACATGTGACTAAAATAAAAAAACATGGACAAAGTATACCTTTTAATTTGCTGTTATCATGGCCGTAATGTCGTATTTTCACAATGACTGTGATGTAACATTTGACATTGTAGCGACCATGATGCTATTTTTCCAAAGACTGAAGTGACCATGTGATCACATTTTTGTCCACAACTCTCTATTAGTAACATGTGATCTTTGCGTTTATATTTGAGGGGTTAATTGTATGTTCCTTGATGCTAGTTTTTATCAAACTGATTAGGAACTCCTGAGTTCATGGCACCAGAAGTGTATGAAGAGGAATATAATGAGCTGGTTGACATCTATTCATTTGGGATGTGCATATTGGAAATGGTTACTTTTGAATACCCATATAGTGAATGCACTCATCCCGCCCAGATCTACAAGAAAGTCATATCTGTAAGTAGTAGTATCCTTTCTGTTCATTTCCAATCTGATGATTTAAGTCGCCTTGAATAACAACACTTGGTTTTTATATGTAGGGGAAGAAACCAGATGCACTGTATAAAGTGAAGGATCCTGAAGTTCGTGAATTTGTTGAGAAGTGTTTGGCCACTGTCTCGTTAAGGCTCTCTGCGAGGGAGCTTTTGGATGATCCATTCCTTCAACTTGATGAGAGTATATCAGATTTAAGGTCCATCGTGTGCAGGAGAGAGCTTGATTACATGAACCCAATATTAAGACCGCCAGTTCTTGGGCTTGATTGTGACGGAACATCATTTAGTAATGATTTGTATAATGGATATTGCACTGGTTATGCCTATGATGAAAAGGGATGGATTTGTGATCCAAATGAATTTGAGCAAAATGGAATTGAACTTTTTGAATATAATGACGATGAACGCGAAGAGCATTCTTCTCATTTGGATATAACTATCAAAGGGAAGAGAAGAGAGGATGGCAGTATCTTCTTAAGACTTAGAATTTCAGACCAAGAAGGTCAGTCCATCTTACTAAACGCATTTATCATTCTTAGGGTCAACTTTCCCTTCTAATATCTTATTTAATTTATCATATTTGAACTCGGTTTTGCGGTTCTATAGATCTTTTAGTTAGTTTATAGAAATGTTGTTAATTACTCCGTAGTTATCAATAGTTCTATGCTATTAAAATATGTATTAAAAATATATTTTATCTTTAGAAATCGGTTTTGTGAGCTGTTAATCTTTTTTAAACATAAAGTTTTGCTTGTATAATTATGTAAATACGGAGTAAAATTTAAATGGACTTGATGCGTAAAATGCTCATCACTACTTATACGATAGATAAAAATATAGTCAACAAATAATATATTTTTGAATTCCGGTCCAACCCGTCCGAACTGGAATATTCTAGGATCAGACCGCGGACCTGAACCGAATTCCTTAAGAACCTTGATGGCCGGGCAGACATGTGCTCAATCCGGATGCACTCAGCTCCAAGCCGAAACTAGTGGAGAACTAACTTTATCATCAAATAAACATCGTAAACCAAAATGGAAAGCTTAATATGGAACTGGAAGGAGGGGAATACAGTTTTATTTAAGTTCTGCATTCCATTTTGTAAGACTGGTGTAACTTAATCCAAATTTGTTTCTTTGCAGGCCGTATTAGGAATATATATTTCCCATTTGATATCGAATCTGATACGGCAATAAGTGTGGCCACTGAAATGGTAGCAGAGCTGGATATCACCGACCAAGACGTTACCAAGATAGCAGATAAGATAGATGGGGAGATTTCAAAGTTAGTGCCTAATTGGAGACCCGGGGGAGGATTAGAACTAGACACCTCTCACTTTACAAATCCCAGCTTCTGTTTCAACTGTGCTTCCAACCATACTTCCACAGGTTCCTTGATGAATTTCCTGTCAAACAATCCAACTGCCAAGACTCTACCATTCCTACAATGCAGTAGTTGTGCTACTCATGGACGGTTCGAGGAGGTCACATATCAGGCAAACAGTCCTGGCAAAATTTGTTCTAAGCATGAAAACCATACAGCTTCATCAACTCAAATAAATGAATTTCTTCATCTGGAATACTGGGACCGCCATGATATCCTTGAGTGCAGCTCTGTTTGCTCTCTTGAAGAAAGTGAAAAACAATATCAAGAAGTTCCCCCAGAGGGTAAAAAAGTCTCAGTGGAGTGATTTTCTTCTTCTTGACATCTTCCTACACCATTATCGTCTGAGTTTTTTTCTTGCCAAAGTTGAGAGGATTTGCTTTACTTCCAGAGTTCATGATCGTCGTTCCACTGAACAAAAACTGAGTGGGATTTCAACCCTAAATTGTGCACAAATTTGAATGCCAAGAATTATTACAAGAGCAGCCCCAGTTCTGGTAACCCGAAGGGCCTGAAAATGTGAGGCGAACCATACGCTCATTTTAGTAGTGTCCTTGAACGTATTTTCACTGCTAAAGATTTCTTTGTCAACATATCTTCCAAACACACTATAACACGTCATAAATTCATTGGTTGATGTTGGTTTATATGCACATTTCTTGCTCTGTGCATTTGTTCTGCCTTTGCATCCAAGCTCATCTCTCTTTATATCACTATTGGGGTGGCTATCCAGTATATTATGTCTTGCTGAGAAAATAAAGTAGAGAAAACAGAATGACTGTATTATTAAAGTATTTAATTATCTTATTAAAGTGTAAATTATTACTAAATGCTCTAGGAGTCTAGGGTAGGGGTGGAGTCGGTTCGGGCCACCCGGCCCGTGACCCGGCCCGGTACTGTGCGGGCCCGGGACCGGCCCGGTCGGGCGGTCCGGGGACCGGGTGTGGACCTGAACCGGTGGGAATGGGCGGGGCGGGCACGGTGCCGGATAAATGTGACCCGGCCCGGCCGGGTCGGGTCCGGGTCCGGTCTGATTTTTTAATTTTTTTTTTTTTAAATTGGGCTTCTAGCCGTTGGGGGTGGGCTGGGGACAACCCAAACGGCTATATAGCCGTTGGGTGGGGTGCAGGGGGGGTCCGGGGGGGTTGAGTGGTGGTGGGGGTGGTGGGGGGTGGGGGGTAAAAAAACCTATAAATACTCCCAATCTTAAACATTTTTTCATATCTCTTCTCCAATTCTTCCTAAATCCTATTCTTAACTCTCAACTCTCTAATTCTCTTATTCTCCAATATATTATATTTATTATTTATATATCTACTTTATAGTTTATACTTAAGAAGTTAAGATGGAAAATCAAGATGTCATTATACAGTATAATTTTGATAAGCAGAAGGACCCGAAGACCGGGATGTGGTACGCAATTTGCAAATGGTGCGAGAAAAAATGTAGCATGTGGGTTTCAGGCGGATACAGGATGACAATCAAGCATATGAAGTCATGTGACAAAGCTAAAGGATCGGGAGGTGCGGGAAGTTCCGATTGATTACAATTTTCAAAATGTTTGTCTCTTAAAGTTTGTTTTAATTTTCAAATGTAGTTCCTATTTCATTTCAAATAAATGCACTTGAAGTTTGTTTTTAATACTCGTATAAAACTATAAAATATAAATTATAAAAAAAAAATTAACCGGTCCGGCCCGAACCGGACCCGACCCGGGCGGGTGGCCCGACCCGAACCGGATCCGTCCAACCCTCGGGCCGGTCCCGGGCCCATGTGATACGAACCGGCGGCCCGACCGGCCCCGACCCGGCCCGAATCCATCCCTAGTCTAGGGTGGTCTTATGGAATGCCTTGTTCCAAATAATACTTTTTTATACTCCGTAATTATCAACAAGTCGAAGCATACATTTTAGAATTTCCGTGCTGTCATATCACACCAAATTCTTGTTCATTCTTTTTCTTTGAATAATTTATAGAGGGTTTTCTTTAAATGTTATTTAAATATAATAACTTATGGATAAAAGTATTACTCAAGTTCCTGTGAGGATAATATCATAGTCGTAAAATTCAACATTATTATGGTCTCTGATGTTCGTATTGTAATGACTTTTTCGCAAAGAAGAAACTTATTTTGTTAAAGATTAAAGTAGCAAGGAATAACGTAATACAATAATGACAAAATTCACAACAATAATCTCTAGTTTTAGGGATTCTACAATAATAATCCATACTGAGAATATTCATAAAAATAATCTGAACTAGTAATAATGTCCACATGAATAAATTGGTGTGAATTAAAATCTTCGTTTCATACTCTCAATTCCTACCTCCACTTTTTCCCTTCACCATTCTTCGTCTTGGGTAACACTTTTATCTACCAACCTAGAGATGACCATATATGGCGGAGATGACGTTGAGATTAAACGAGATTTAATTTGAATTTACCCCGAGAAGAAGAGCGGGAAAGAGAAAAGTAGGAGTAGGGGTTGTGAGTATTAAATGGCCATTAGTTTGAATTCACTCCAATTTATTCTTGTGAACACTATTGCTAATTCAGATTATTTTTATGAACACACTTAGTAGGGATTATTAATTTATTATTGTAGAATCTATAAAACTAAGGATTATTCTTATTATTTTCACTTACAATAATCCAAGATTAGACTGGGATGAGACATAGAATTGAATCCAAAGACCAACCAAATTTGTTAATCTTGTAGCCATGTAGTCTAATCTAACAACATTATTGAACTTGTTATTCAAAAGGTAATTAAAAGAAAATAAAGCTTCCGCAAGAAGAGAAATACTCCTTGTCTCATGTCCTCATGCCCGTTCAGAATTTTCGGTGATGTCTACCTGGACTTCCACTCTTTTATTTAGACCCACTGTCATTCTCTTCCTAGGTTCTCATTCCTCCAAAGCTTTGTCATGATCTTGCTCTTCCAATACATTCGGTATTTCCTTTGCTCTTATAGTGACTTAAATATTAAGAAAAGTACAGTTATATCCATTACATTTAGTTTCATCGTGTGTTTGTCATTGCTTCTAATTTATAAAACAAAAATTAGTAAATTACAATTATGTCACAGTTGAGATGTATGTTTTACATGTCAAAGTTACTACATATGACTTCATAATATCTGCGCACATGCATCGCTTAATGAATGTCTAAAAAGTGGTTTGGTGCTTGTATGAACAATGATTTGTTCCCTAGTGTGTCTAGGGTAGTTAGTATCTTGTCAATTTTGTTTATCACTTTATGAGTGATTTCTGTTCAAATTAGCAACACGAGTTGCTACATGATGCTATATTATATTACTTTTTAATTGCTATTGAAAACTGATAGACTATAAGTCTAGAAAGAAGGGAGAGCTAGAGAGAGAAGTTCTATATTTGTTCTGTATTAATTAATTTTGTGAACCCTTTACATGACTCCCAGGGGGTACTTATAGAGGAAATTAGGGCCGGACTCCCAAGTCTTGGGCTTGGGAGGCCCATTTACAATAGGGCCACTATTGGGCTCAGTACAAGAGATGTAGAAATAATTAAGTATAAGATCCTATTCCGAGGGCTGCTCGTGGCCGATGAGGGCACGGCCGACGAGGGCATGGCCGACGAGGTCACCCGGTTCTCCTGGCTCCTGGACCGTATTCCGAGTAGACTTCTTTCTGGCCGATGGAGGTCATCTGGCCGACGAGGGTCCCACCAGGTGATCGTGGTACCTTCTGTTCTTCTGAGTATGTGGGCCATGGGGTCCAGGCCCATATACTCCATCAGGAGTCCCCCACTCTCTGAGCTGAGACGTAGACGAAGTGAGGGAGAGTAGATTCCATAGTTTTGACGTTTTCCGACCGTTAAGGGATTCTTCCTTGTTTTTAGCCGTCGTGGGCACCCCTTGACCTGGCTCCTTGTCTTTTGGCTGCCGTGGGTACTCAGCGTTCTGGCCGCTGTGTGGCTTTCGCTGTAGACGATGAGGGACCCCGTCATGATGTATATTTTCTATTTAAGGACGTCGAGTGTCTTTGCTTGGTAGGGACGATGAGCGTCCTCTGTCATGAGTGGCCGATGAAGGTCATGCCTATTCCTGACAGTTGATGGCTGAATTTCGCGCTTTGGGCCGAGGAGGCCCTTGTGGTTATCTCCTGTTCGAGGATGATGGGTGTCCTTTCGTTTCCGGGTGGCCGGTGAGGGTGTTGTTTGCCTTGTTTGGCCGTTGAGGCTCTCATTCTGGGCCTTTGGCCGAGGAGTGGTGGTATTCATAGCTTGGTGTCCATGTTTTTGAGGACGATAGCGGTACTGATCTGGGAGGAGTGTCGCGTATCCTGATCTTATGGACGATGGTGATTCAGGAACGTTGAGTTCCTGTTCTTTGATTCCTGACCGAGAGTGGAGTATGTGGTCTCAAGACCGATAAGTGTCCTGTGATCTCAAGTGTTGCACTTGGAGGGAATTCTTTGTTCACTGCTTTGCCGCGGTCGATGGTGCACGACAAGGTTATGGACGTTGTGGTGCATATATGATCTGATGTTGTAGTTGTGGACTTGGTTTATTTTTGGGTTTGATTTTGTCCTGACTTTCAAAGGCCGGTGCAGTCCCCCAGTCCCCCATTGCTTCAGGCCGAAGAGTAGGTGAGGGGTGAAGGAGTAAAGGATTTGCCCTGGCCGAAGCGGATTCTTGTATTCCCCTGAGTCCAATTCCTTGGCGATTTCCTGACCAAGGTAACCCTGTGGGAGAACCCTTGGACGCAGGTCGCTTTCAAGAAATTATCATCAGTGTTTTACACAAGGCCGACAACATGGGGTTTCTTTTTGCTTTTACCGTTGTGGCCGTTGAAAAGGCCATGCAATTGGCATTCTGTTCAAGCCGATATGGACACACCTTGAGATGTGGCCTACCCTTTTGTAGTTATCTTTGTGTTGAGGCCGATGTAGGCACGATTTCTTAGCATGGCCGTTGAGTGGTTGGCCTGTAGGCGATGAGCTGGTATTGTGGAAGTGGGCCTCACCTGTCTTCTGAACCGGTGCCAGCTTAATGGGCCTTAGGGGTGGTGGCCGTTCATGTGGCCAATGGGAGGTTGCCACGTGTAGTGACCGTTGGGGGGGGTCTATAAATACTCCTCTCCCTCCGAAGAGGTTCCTCATTGCATTCCTGAGATAACGAAGTGCTGTCAATTTTTCTAGAGAGAGAGAGCCTTTCCGTGTGTTCTTCCGTTCTTCAAAACTTCAAAGGTCAGTTCGTCAAACTTTTCTGCAATTACTTGTGTACTTTGCTTATTTTAGCTTTTGATCCTCTGTTTGTGGAGAAACACCCTTAGATCCAAAGTAAAAACCCTTAGGCTTTAGTTAGTTGTTATGATGAAACCCTTGGACAACGATTACTACCCATATGACGATGAGCCCTCTGCTAAATCTCTTGATTACCGGGTAGTAGAGGACTGTTTTGAGGAGACAGAGGAGCTGAGCTCCTTCAAATCGGGGGAGAAAGAGGGGAGTGAAGGTGAGGACGAAGAGGCCGCCTCGTCATCTGATGGTGAGGACGTAGTGGCTTCCCGTGTTGTGGACGGAGCGTCTACATCGGCTGCAATTCCTTACCCGAAGTCGGTTTCTGCTGTGAAGGGGGCAGCCCCAACGAGAAGGCGTCGGCCGAAGAGGGGTCTAGGTTACTCCTACCTGGACCTTACAAATCTTTATTTGATCAAGCCGGAGAGCTGCGCGGCCGATTACCTGGTGGCCCATATGTACGTGGGGCCGTATGGGAGGGTTAGGGCACCCAGGCCGACGGACCATGTGTTGAATCCACCTCCAGGGTATTTTGGAGTATACCCC